CCTGGCATTCGCATTTCCTCGCCAATTCAGCCTTAGCAGCCTGTGCACCAGACCGGTGGGAGGAGTACGAAGTATCGGTGAATCAAGATCGATCCAATCAGAAATTGCGTGAAGCCAAGTCTCGGATAACCCATGTTTTGCGTGCAGCTGCTTAGAATATAGAGGGTTTGGAAGGAATCAAACTTGGTGGTGAATACCCAACCCTCGTGACTGGATAGGCATGTTCTCCCGGTGAACTAATGCAGTGTTCGCGTGACCCGTCGTTTTTACCAAGTAGTGATTGTCTTAGTCTTCAACATTCAATGTCTCCTCATTGCCGGCAGAGCTACTGAGTAGAACTCCTTTCCGTTGCTGGGCAACTATCCGATCTTGTGCTGTTATAAGAACACCGACTTGACATGATGACGAGGGTCACGTAGACTGGCAGTCGGACCGAGAAAGCTTTGCTTTGAGGAGCAGGTTCTTGCATGTATCAACAGCAATCAACAACCCACCAGACATCACAGAAAAACAGCTCGTTCAACCAAGAAGTCTTTGAAAAGCAGTCTTTGGGACTATTTGTTGTCTTAACATGTTATAGAAATCCCCAAACTTGAATGTATTCATCAAAGCAACCGACGACCTGCATATCATAGCGAAGATGTCAGAGTAAATAAGCATGAAACAGGCTATCACCTTGGATAGCACAATCGCAAAAGCGGTATAGGGTAAAAACCGGTAAAACTCGGATATCTCACCAAGAGCGATCTCTCAAAGACCATGGTCTACCGACGTATATGTGTATGTAATTATTAGGAAAGACTTAGCGTCGAAACCCGGAGGGCGAGTGCCATATAACATCTGCGTAAGATTTTCGAGAACACCAGTAGGTCCGTTTCGAACAGTCACGTCATGCAGCGCTGTAGTCCAGGGTGACTGGCGGGCCGCAGCCTGACTCAACCCTGCAGTGAATACAACAAGGGGAATGGCAATCAGTAAATGAGTCGAAGAGCATCGGCCTCAGGATCAAGGCAATAATTGCAATGAATGAATGGTGCACAAAAATACCAATCCCTGCTGTCCCTGGCAGAATTGGCAACGAATGGCTCGTGCCAAAAAGACAATAATTGTTGACACAGACAATACCACAAGCAGCGCAGCAATTCTTTCTTGTGAAACGGACTGTGGGACCAAATAGCTACGCCTTCAATGATTCCTCCGACAGCAACAACGAGTCATCATGGGAAACGTCATATCTACGATACCACCCTGAACGTCTGTTAATGTGGTACTGGGGACCTGCAAGTGAATATCAGAGTCAGGACTTTATTGGCGAGTCGGATATCCTGCCCTGCCTCATTCCAAGAGTTCATTAGGCCCATATGGAGGGTGACGATCTTCTAAGGGTTTTGTCAGTAATGGGCAAGACGAAAGACACCTGACTCTGCGCACCCGATACCTTGATACAAAGAGCACTTACCTTCCTACTTATACGAGTGAAGATACGTTGGCCAGGCCCAGTTCTAGAACACTTTATGGAACGTTTCGCATGACTCAGGTCTTGTATATGCTGAACGCGAGCTCGCAGGTCTCGACCGGTGCGTGCGAGGTTTCCCGAAGGTACCCGTGACCGTGCCCAGAAGGGACGGAGAAATGAAAATGAGGATCATCCAAGAAGGCATACAATTGGGGCAGCCGATGGGTTCTTGACTTGGCCCTGAAGCCAGCCAATGGTATCGATCGTACACGCCGAACTTTATTGAGGCTCAAACATGCCAGCAGCGTTCTTTTGATGCCCTACGCAACCAAACGGGGCCAATGTCCCCGCAACTAACTGCATGGGTCCTGCCGCCCTTTTGTCCAACACCTCCAGAAAGGAGTTGGAGTTGATTGGTGGATCTTGACAAAATGATATCCGCGCATGGAATTTGGACCAGCAGATTGTGGCCTTCGGCGGTGCGCAAGGCCAACAAAACCCCACAAGAAGGGCGGCTCGTTCCACTTTGTAACTGGAACCAACAGAAGCAATATATTTGAAAGTATGTTTGCCGCGTTACCGCAGTACCATGTAGAAACACCGGGGCATGTCCGGCGTTGCGAGTCCTCCGCCAGTCAGCTCAACCTCCGACCACATTATCATCCGAACGTCGGTTATTAAATGGCCGTCTGTCTATCGAGAACGAGAATTAAGACTACAACCGAGCGTCTAGGACTAGTCTAAGTGTAGATGAGAGTCAAGGTCAACAGCCAACTGGTAGTCAACCGCGCGGTGTCTGCTTCGATATACCTGTGGTGTCCAGGGACCTAGCCCATCTCTGTTGCGGGCCCTAACGAACCACCTGCATTTTATGGCTTAAATGAATTGAAGATCACCAGGGTACAGTCGGGCAAAATCTGAACAACATGGGAAACATCACGCCCAAGCTTCTGGCAAGCTTCGAACGTGGTAAGACATGCTTAAATCCCTGGCGATGACGAAAGGAATAAACTTTGTAGATGGGGTGAATTCCAGAACTCAAATGACAGGAGAAAGGTTCTAGCTTCCGAAAAAGCTCATCTGATATACATATATAGAATAGAAGGCTGAGCACATTAGACAGCATTGACTCTGCACAGCAGATCTGTTACCAAATGCACATTCCCGCCATCTTGTAGACACCGCCTGTCCCTTAATTAGCCTCAGCACCCTGATAGCCACACTTTGGAGAGCAGTAGTAGGTGATCTAAGATTTGTGTTGTTAGTTAGGGGTGAACAATTATCGCTCAAAACAATACCAACATACCTCATCACCTCTGATGTGCCAGCCGTTTGATTTGCATTAGAGGCCATCCTGCTGTCAGGTTAGACCGAAGCCACATATGACGTCTCCAGTCGAGTGATAGGACAATTACCCTATAAATCGACAGTCGGGGCACCTGTCCTATTGGTTGTTACCAGTGTTGCGGTTCCTGCAGTAGCTGCAGGCACACCTGGTGGCGCTAGTGTTGATCTGGTACTCTTTCCAGGAGCCATATCCAAGGTCAAAGATGTGCCGTAGCTAGTGCTACCAGATGTTCTCGAGGCCGCGCAAAGAGCAGTGTTGTGCAGTTTAGCAAGTAGCAATAGCCATTCATCGACAGTTCACAACCATATCCAACCAGAACATATCAGACCGGAGAACATCCACAACGCTGAGTGTCGCCATAGCCACGAGAGAGGAAATCTGCGTGCTGATATTGCTTAGCAGCTGGGCCGAATGGAAGTCGAAAGAAAATTTTGGTAAAAGGAAGTTGAGTACGCGGCGTTTCCGAGGAAATGACCGTGTACTTTGCAGTTGAGATCACTTCTATACTTCCGTGACATGCGAAAGCCGCTCATTCATTGCTATTGCGATTTAGGATGCATCACGAAGAAGGGTCTAATACCTTCCATACAACGGTCTTTCGACTAATATGTAACTTGGGCCGGACGTAGAGAATAGTCATCACTAGGTTAGCATAACTAGGTTATGATGCTGTGTTAGGATGTCTCATAGCTAGACTTCGGCATGTCATTGAATAATCCCGCCTTAAACTGAAATGCACGTGATTCGCATTGTCAAATCGCAAGTCAAAATGACATGTTGTTGTGCTTAAGTACTACTTGATTTACCCTGTACATCATTAAATTATAAGCCAGGGTGTTATTGCCTTGAAATGAACACTTGCCCGACTTCATCTTTAAATCCCATCCGGATTGTGTGAACGTCGCAAACAGTCAGCTTCTTAAAACTGTAACTTGCCCAATAAGTACAACAGACCAAGGGTATTTGAGATGCGTATTAGAGAATACGTCGACTGGTGACGCAACGGCCAACTTTGTGGCCTCGGTGCCGTTTCTTGAGAAGGCTTCGGCTGGGGTGAGTGTGCGCCAAGTGGACTGACTAAGTCTTTGGGGAAAATTGTAATCAAGAACGTGTCTGATATGACAGAAATTCCAAGTTATTACCACACCTTGCATTGCCGTCCCGTCTTGGCTATGATATTGACATCCAGGACCAAATCCAACTTTTTGAGTTCTGCTGGCGGCCTTGATGCAACACTGAAATTTCAGGATTCTTTGCCATGATATAGCCGTCAACACCAATTTCTGGAGTTTACCCAGGGTCAGACCATGGTATTTGTGAGCACCGACAATTGGAATGCAGCCAGATTTGTCTTGATGGACAACTCACGTCTGACTGGCTAAAAAGCCTTCGGCGTCCACTCCGATTGAGAGCAAGGGAGAGAAGTTCAAAGGGCACCGGAGGAAATGCTGCTCTCCATCGGGCCGCCTCCTCTGTCCGAGAGCCAAGTCTAAATTCTCCGTTTGGCGCAGCGGAATTCCGCTAGCACGCTGGACAGAGACCGTTCAATCTGCCCCTTTTGTCGCTGGCGAGACATGCCATGCAAGTAGATTGAGACATTCCTTCCCCTGACTCTTTTCCCCGCGATTCACACCCGCCGAGAGCCGACTTAGCATGTTTCGCGGATTATGAACACAGGCCCGTCTTTTTTAGAGGATAGCATTCCGGCTCGAGACGAGTTCTAGGGCCAGGCACACGACAATGACGTCGTTAATCTTAACGGCTGAGGCGCGCGCCCATTCCCATCGACGAGATTCTCCCCCAGAGACATTTTAGCGTTTAGGGTTAGTTTTTAGAGCAGTGATGGTCGAGTTGCCGTCAGCCTTTTCGAGTATGGCGCCCGTGGCAATACGAGACGCGGTTGAGCTAAATTGCTGCTACAATGATACGAGCCGCGAGGGACACGATAAACAATTCTGGAACGCGATGGTTATGGGTAGAATGCAGTGAAATTTCGTACCACTTCGCTTGCTCAAACACACATATTAGCTGTACTACTAATTGATCAACGGAGGTGCCTCCGAGAAGAAGCCTATAAAGAAGGCATCGAATTCGCACCCAGCTGCAATTCCACAAGACATCTCGATTGCATCGCAACTCGTCCACTCTTTTTCCATCTTCAACCTCACATTCGTTTTCGACATCACTCCTGACAAAATGACTTTCACCATTGGCTCTCTCCTGGTTGGTCTCGTCCTGGGCGCCGCTCAGCTCGCCAACGGCTCTCCAATGGCCGACGCCGTCTATGTCACCCAGGTCGTCAACGCCCTCACCACCTACTGCCCTGGCCCCACGGTCATCACCCACGGCCCCAAGACTTACACCATCAAAGAGGCCACCACCTTCACCATCACCGACTGTCCCTGCACCATCACCCACATGGGCCCGGTTCCAACCGGTGCCCCGACCTCCGAGTGCGCGACCAACTGCGGCAACGCCTACAACACGTGCCGCGGCGCCCCCGACGCCAACCGTGCCTCATGCGCCGCCGAGTACGCCGGCTGCTTGGGATACAGCCCGTTCGGTCCTGATGGGTCGCTGATCACGCCGACCGCCTGCTCGGCCCAGATCTCCGCCACTCCGGTTCCCCTCCCCAGTCCCATCGAGGTCGCCCCTTGCCCCGCCGCCTGCGCCGCCTCCTACGACAAGTGCCGCGGTGCTCCTGACGCCAACCGCGCAAGCTGCGCCGCCGAGTATGCTGGATGCCTAGGCTACAGCCCTTTCGGCCCCGACGGATCGCTTGTCACCCCGACTGCCTGCTCCGCCGCCGCCACGACCCCGGCTCCGGCCCCGACTGGCGCGGCACCCACTGCTCCGGCTGGCAACGATTGTGCCCAGAAGTGCGCCATGATCTATAACAAGTGCCGCAGCGACCCCAACGCGAACCGTTCCACCTGCGCGGCCAACTACGCCAGCTGCTTGGGATACAGCCCCTTCGGAGCTGATGGCTCCCTGGTCACCCCCACCGCATGCGCTGCTTTCGCCACTGGAGCCGCCCAACCTAACGGCACCGGTATGGCTTTGCCGTCCCATGTGGTCGTCGCTGGAGCTGAGCGCGTGTCGTTTGTCAATGTTGCCACCGCTTTGGGTGCTTTCGGTCTGGCTGCGCTTGCTCTTCTCTAGACGTTTGGACGCTGGAGGGCCTGGATGGCTGAGTTGGAAAATGTGTACAAGTTGGTTTCAAAATGATGTACCTGAGGCTTTCTTTAATTCGAAATGTTTAATATTTGATGACGCCAATTCGCTGTGAAGCCAATAAGTCAGCCAGTGGCACTGTGTCACGTTATGTGACCCTGCTCATTGTGTGATCCTCACTCGATCCTAAAATGTCAAGTCCCCCTTATCGTCTAGTGTTTATCGCCGTATAAACTTTCTATGAAGTTCTACTCATTTTCAGCTCGAAGTCTTTGATGTATTATCTGGCGCTGGCGTTGAGGTCGATCTGTGTGTATTTTTGGCTGTTTACCTAAACTTGTTGTCAATCAATATTATTCAGAAAAGCCTCGTCCTGTTTAAAGAACCCTCATGTCCAAAATCAGGCCGTACGATATATTGTGTTTGCTGCACATACCCTTGCTCCAACGTGATCAACCAATCCCTGGCTTGTTACGACATAGTAGGACGTGACACTTTCAGGGATTAGCGCCCTTGACGCGTCCACTTTGCCCGGGATGCGCGGAACCCCACCGACATGCTTCCGAACCTCACCCCAATCCGACATCCACGATCCCTTGACATCCCCAATGACTGCTTCCACCACCGACTCCATGGCGGTTCCGCCTAGCTCCAAGATGTCGCTGGACTTCCTGACACAGACTAGTGCCCAGCTGCGAGAGCCAGCTGAGCTCGCCACCGCTCTGGCGAAGCTGGACGAGAGGCTAAGGGAGTCAAGTATTCCGTACAGCGACCCACTCATCCTCGACCAAGAGATCGCGGAAGCCGATGCGCTCCTCGAAGATGTCGTGAGAACAAGTAAAGATCCCGGTTTCCTCGAGAATCAGAAGGCTCAGAAGATTCTCGGATTCCTCGGTACGAGACTCGAACGCCGTTTGGCCACTGCCCGGAGCGCAATCGCTCGAATGCGCAAAGACCGCATTACAGAACTCCCGACTGAGTTATTGATGGACATCATGAGTCGAGTAACGAACGGCACTTCAAATATTGGTCTCGACGGTGACGATTTTGTCTCGTCCGATGAACACAACAGAAGTCGGGACGTCGAGTCTATCAAATGTCTCCGCCTCACCAGTCGCCGCATGCGCAATCTGGCCGATCGCTTTCTCATCCGCTCGGTCACTGTCAGAATGATGCCGCACTCTCTGGCCCGATTAGTCGAAATTTCGCATCACCCAGTCTTCTCTCATACCGTTCGATGCGTGAAAGTCAACTTGGCCTTTTATGCCAAAGCTCTGGCGAACCTGAATAACTTCGCCGGGTTCGAGAAATGGCAATGCGAACGAATACACGAACGTTTCGGACTAGCCAACGAGAAAGCGGATGCGGAAGAAGCTGAAGACCATAGGGTCTCGGATCATACGATGACTCTGCTCAAACGGCTGGACAAAGAGGCCATCGCCACGCGGGAGGTCAAGCGAGGGCGAGACCCTTTCGCTAGCCTCAAGACGTCTTTCAAACGATTACTGCGCACAGCTCATGTGCGGTATAAACAACTCTATGATGAGCAGCAACGAATTCGCAAAGATCACAGAAACGGTGTCGATTCGGCCTTTCTGAGAGAGATCTCCGCTGCAATGGCTCGGATGCCTAATGCTACGAGACTGGAGATTTCGGATGTGGATGTCGACCCTGACTGGAAAGACCATTATGACAGGGTGATTCAACATGTCACTCTAGATGAGACCACGGGACTTTATCGACTTATGATTTCTCCAATCCGTTGGGAAATTTCGAATACCTGCTCGGAACAGTGGGCAGGAGCTCCTGTCGGTGTTTTACTACAGCTTCCGGTCGCACTGTCCGAGGCAGGCGTCCAACTGACGAGGCTTGCCATTACGGTCACTCCTCCTCGGATAATTCATTGGTCTATGATGCAGCCGACTGAAGAGCAGGCAAATAAACTTGCTCGTCTTGTTCAGAACGTCAGGGCTCTGGAGTTCACCATGAAATCCAGAGATGATGATGTCTCTGTCACACCTGCCCATTGGCCAGCGGGCCAGGCACATTTGGAGCCTGTAGCTGCGTATTTGGCAGCCATATCGTCAACTCCAAGCTTAGAAAAGCTTCACATCGGAGCGGGCGCTTTCGGAAATCACATGTTGGACGAATGGGGCGATCTCAGGCGGTGGCCACTTCTAGCCTCCCTCATCAAGTCCCAGCCATGGCCGAGACTCGAACGTTTGGAGCTTGACAATGTCACCCTCACTTCAGGTCTCCTTGAGGAGCTGATCGGAGAGCGATCCACGGATATGATTGTGCGGCTGGAAAGCGTCTTTATTGACGAAGAGGATGAGGACACTTGGCGCGAAATGCTCGACATGCTGCGGGCGAAAGCAGACCCTGACCGCCACAGGAAAGAGGGCGGCGTATGTGGCACAGTCTTTGTCGAGGCCCTTTTTGCGCCGTATGGGGGTGAGATCATCGACTTCCTGAAGCGCGACATTGAACGCATATTCGGCAGCCGGGTCAAGATTAATGACAACGCACCGCTCACACCGGCCCTGTCGTATTTGAGAGGGCTGAGGTCGAAGAATCCCGTTCCCATGGTCATCGGGACGCCTCCGCTTCCACCAATCCATCATCTCGCGGACGACATCGGCTGGTGACTTGCCATGGGACATGATGCTCTGATGTGAGGTAAGATTTGTTTTGGGACTCAACGTCAAATTCAATCACTTGAACACCCACAGCTCCCCACTAAGGTCACCAAAAACATGTGAGCAGCCCTCGATGTGATTGATAACGTAGGAGAATTTAATTGCGGATCTGCATCGGACGAATCAAACATGCAAATCCGGGGAAGGGGGGCGGTGCCCAGCACGGGCTGTGAAAAGGGGTCCACCGCCCTCCACTCCGCGGACCGCGTGGTAAATGAACGCGCGCGGCAAAGACGCAATGCAATGTCGGCGCCGACTCGGCGGTGACGAGACGGGGGGGAGGCAACTCTGAGGGTAGTAGTCTGGTGGAGGAGAGTGGAAGATAACGTGGAAATGCAGGTAGATTTCCTTTTTTCACCTGGGAACGGAAAAAGCCGGCGAGCTGCAGCCATTTTAAACGTACGACGAGATATCGGGAGTTTATATGGCTCATCTCAGTCATTTGCGTTATTTCTTGTGGTTTTCAGTCAGTGGTTGGTCATCAACATGGGCACAACTTTACGTGATGAACAATCCAAAATCAGAGTCAAAGGCAACCTTGTTTACCGCACTTGAAGCTCCTCGCAGAGCATTTTTCATTGACACACTAAAGTCTATCTACATGCACCGTGACATCCCATCTTTTTGCGCCGCTGCTCAACCGAAACCAGAACAATATTTTGACTATGTACATGAACCGAGTCCCAAGTGACAAAGAAAAGGGGAGAAAAGCCTTGCCAACGGCATGGCTAATCAGGTTCTCATGAAGACTCTTCACAAGACTTAGTTGGAAGGAGCAGTCCTCCTGAGGTTGAGGATGATCTTGTCATCGGTGTCGTCGCCAGTCTCGTTCCAGCGGAGGTTGTAGATGCCGTCGGTCTCGGTGGCGGTAGCGTACCACAGAGACTCGTAGCTGCCGTCGTCGGCCTCGACGAGGACGAAGTTGCCGTAGAAGGCGAAGCCGCTGGTCTGGCGGCCGGTGGAGGAGGAGTTGCTCTCGAGGAAGGCGACGTTGTGCACGTCGGAGTCGGAGCTGGGGATGGTGAAGGTGAGGTTGGACCAGGTAGGGGTGGTGGTGACGGCGGAGGTGTTGGGCGCGCCGATCCAGGTCTCCTCGTCGTCGGTCTGGGGAGTGACTGTTGGTTGCGATATCAGTAATCTACTCGGACTTACGAAGTCAAGGGATGTGGGGGATGCTTTTTGGGCGCAGACTTACAGATCACCGGGGCCGCGTTGGAGTCGTTGAACTGGGTGTAGTCTCCGAAGTAGGCATCACCTGGGAAGGGAATCGTTAGTATGGTGGGGAACTTCGGCAGTGAGGGTCTAGACCGAGACGATCGGATGGTAATGCAGATGGTGTGGTAGAGGAGATGGGACGAAGATGAGATGACACTCGGCGTCTGAGGGAATATGGGCTTCGCAACAGAGAGATGAATGCTTACCTCCAGCAGTGAATAGAGCCAGGCCGCCGATGCCAGATCCGTAGGCGTAGATCTGGAAGGAGCTGGTGTCACGACGGACGTGGGCTGACTTGGCAGACCTCACGCTGGCAGGGGCAAGGCCCGGGACCGCGGCGGTGAGAGAGGCAAAGGCCAAAATGAGGCTTCCGATGTGCTGCATTATTGCGATGTTTTGTTGTTTGTTGAAGAAGATTATATGATGTTGCGTGAGGCGTTGAAGTAGCGACGGACTCAGGTGAGCGGTATTGGTATTAGTGTTGCTGTGCGTTTGCTGGTGGTGAGAAGACAAGACAGAAACTGTAAGTGGGATGCAAGATGGTTATTTATCAAGAGCCACGAGAGGCGATATCGAACAATTCTCAGTCCGGAAGATCCGCACCACAACGTGATGTTCCCGCACCACCAGAAAAAAACCTGGCACAAAAAGCTTTTCCAACCAACAACGCCCAATCCCCCCGTCCCATGATCCCATACTGCGGCTCAGACCACTGAGGCTGAGTCCCCACCGGTAGTACGTAGCAGTTCAATCAATCATCACAACTTCTTCATGCAAACCGCGGCTATCCTCCGCTGTCCAGTGTTTGCCGTTCCGCCAAGCTGTCAGCGGGCTGGGTCCCGAAAAGCAAAAATGAAAGGAGGAAACAGGTATTGACCTTGCAACGCACGACGGCAGTGCCGTTATCGTTTGTTCTAGAATGAGGGCACATCCCAGATGGCACATACGTCAACACGTCGATTTGTTTTTCGGGATGTGGGATGAACTGGAGCCGATGGAGGGACCACAGAGGAAAAAACGGGGACCCGGGAATCAGTTTTTTGGACGTGGCGCCGCGCGCACGGAAGTCGAAAAGGCGTTAGCAAGGGGGTGGTGATATAGGCTGGTAGGTCTTCGAGGTGGACGGCATGAAAAAGGGGATCATTGGAAAGTTTCGCATAGAAGCATCCACGTAAGGGCACCGAGGCTATTCGTAAGGAGGGCTTCGCAGAAGAGATGAACACCCTCCTCATCCATCTGGACCACCCCTATCACCGCATTCATACCCTGCAAAGCACAGACGATAGCTATCGGGCATCCGTAGGGCGGATCGACCGCTCCTGCATCTGTGCAGCTTTTTCTACGGGCCCGCCCGTCCACCGGGCCTGGATCAGTGTCCCGGGACGAGGCCGCGCCCCCACCTTTCCGAACACTCGGTCACACCGGCCGTTATGGGCGGCCTGTGGAAGATCAACATCAGGACCCCTTCATACGTGCCATCTTGTAAGGCTGTTGCGGAGCGACTCCAATGAATATGCATTGCGCCGTTCAGGAAGTTTGCTATTGTATTCGGTGGGCTTGGATGCTACAACGCATTCTCGTTGGCAGGATTGATCTGTCAACAAGATGATCCTCAAAGCGCGATGTCACATCGGACAACCCGAACTCTCGTCCCCCAATCTTTGCATCAATGCAGCTTTTTGAGCCTCATCTGTGCCAGAGGTGAATGTAGGAGACCGCCTAGTAAGCGGCAAGGGACGTAGATTGTCAGGATTGCGCTACCGGACTACGCGTGCACAGTACACGCGGCGGATGGTACCGGTGGGATGGGCCTGCAGCAAGACTGCACTGGCATAGCCTTCCTCCGCTCCGGGCGGGATTATCTAAGCCGGAGAAGGAAACGAAGTCCCGGGCGCCCCTTATTGGAGTTGCTTCGCCACCGGGTATGAGCCTTAATATGGCAGCTTTTCATATCTGGTTTTACTACCATTGCGGCCTAGTCCAGTGTGAGGTCTTACAGCCACTTGTTTACAGCCCTCGGGAAACAATCACTAGAAAGTGAAAAATTGTCCCAGTTGAGTAGAGAGTGACGTAGACAGGGAGTGCTTGGTGGATGGGCACGAAAAACAATCCATCATCTTCATTCAACTTGCCTCGGCTCATATTCAAGACACATCACCGCCTGGGACCTGCATTCTCTCAAATCTCTGCCGTTGACTGCTGTAAAACTAAGCCTTAGCCGAGAGTTTCAAATAATCGGTAACCCGTCTTCCCCGAAGAGCTTATTGGTCAGAAAGCTTAGCATTATGTTCCCTCCCCGCCTTTTTCCATCCTCTACGCTTGTCCTCGCTGCCGTAGTATCTACGTTATGTGGGCAGTCGGGAAGTATTGCAGGGATCCACGTGGTACCGACCATTTGAAACTCTAGGACAGCTCCTTCCTTTGATTGATTAGATGTCATACCGATCCTGGCACAGTCTTCATATGGGATGAAAAATATCGGGATATTTATAGATGACGTCTTCCGTCAGTCCCCGCCTTGCTCAGCTGCCAAGCCTTAGGCGATATTTCCTTGCCTCCGACCCAAGGGCTGCATGTCCGTCTCCGAGGTCCCTGATCCCTCATGTTGCTGGAGTCTTTTCCTCGAGCCTAGTTGGAATTCAAAATTTGAACAATGGATGGGGTGCTAAGAGGATTTTCCACAACGTTGCACTTGTGTAGGACATACGCACGCGCGAGACTCAACCTTTCCTCGCCGTTGCCTGTAAGCCTGCCTGCACCTCCCCCCCAACCGAAAATGTGCCCGAAATGCTTGCTTCCCAGTGAGTCGACTTCGGCTCCAGAGGGGAACATAAATTCAAGCAGCCTCAGACGCTTGCCACTCGGTCTCGCCGTATCGGCCAACTCCTTCATGGTGTCCATGAGCTCGCGCCAAGTCCCGTCGACCATCTTGCAATTGTATATCACCAGGTCCAGCGACGATTTCAAATTGGCGAGGAACTTTCCAAAAGCAGGCCCCTTGATGTTGACGTAGCGGAGGGCGAGCTTCTTCAGAGGCCTCTGAGGTGTTTGTGAGAGAATCGGGGTGTGGTGAGTGCACCGTGCCCTGGCCCTCATCATGCCCTCAAAGTCCACGGCAAGCACTTGCAAGTTCGGCATGCGACTCAGTGGGCTCATGAATGAACTGACTGCCGTCAGCTCCTTGCCCGACCGGAGCTTGTTCTCTTTTGCATCCTGTCGAAAAGTGAAAGTGTTGGAGATTTTCCGCGAGGGCTTGCAAAGCAGTCTTTTCGTCGTCGTCGCTTTTGAAACCTGAGAGGTCCTTTGGCGCTGATGGCTTGATGGAAAGTCGAGTGAGTTTGATTCCGGCCGTCCCAAGGTAGACCAAAAGCTTGCACACGAAACCGACGTCCTCCATTGTCAGGACGTGGTCGCCCTTCAGGTAGTCATAGTCTTCCCACTTCAAGAAGGGAACTGTGTACCTCTCGGTGAGGTTATCCATAATGTCCTTGTAGAATTCCAGAGAGGTGTTCAATTTCTTTCCTGAAGTGGGAGACTGAGATGCGTTCCAGCCCAGGATCTTGAGGCCTCCCGTCACCGGCTTATCATAGATTTCCAACTGCGTTATTCCAGGCATCCTCCGTATTAGCTGTGCAAGACTTTCCCCTAAGCTCCGCTTCATCTCCTCTCGCTGCTTGTGGAGTTCTTTGTACGCAGCATACGCTCTATCGAGCTTTACTTGCAAGTGCTCAACGTAGTATTCTGGCTGGCACGTCCTTTCCCATAGACGAATTTCACGCTTAATTTGAACCTGCTTGAACACAACACGGCTATCGGCCATTTCCGAGGGGCAGTATGGAAGAATGAGGCGAAGACATTTAACTCCAGGTCCAATAAGTGGGTGAGCAATAACCTTTTCGAGATGTTCCATTGAATCGGTCGTCATTTCGATGGATACGTGAGACACCAAAAGACGAGATGCCTCCTCGCTGAGTTGACGACAACTCAACCGGATCGACTGGATGTCTTGAATGATGTCGCGGCCGCGATTTGGGACTGGCTCTGTGTAATCACGATCTGGGCCGTTTGTATCGCATTGGGAAAGGATAATGCCCAATACCTCTCGCGGGAGGCCGGGTAAACCTTTGTTCGATAGATCCGGTCGGCCGCGGTCGTTGTAGACAGCCCACAGGTCTTGCCGAGGATCAAGTCTCGGATCACGGGGATCTGGGCCTTCAAGCGACGTCTTTCATTACGCCGGTGTCCCTGGGTGCCATGTATCGCCCAGGCCTTTTCGTCCTGAGGAGGTTCCGGCTGCCCCCTCAGAATGAGCCGGAGCGATCGGTCGATCTCAATCAGCTCCTCATGGGCCGCGGCGAGACCAGCAGAGTCTCTGTCAAGGGTCTGCATCTGAGGTGATTATGGTTTTCTGAAATTTTGTCGAGATTTGGAGTTGCTGAGGCCGTCGATTGAAGAGACTTTTTTCTGGGTCTTGTTGTGTTGCAGCTTTCACCGACTTGGCCTGGAATGTAAACATTCGGAAAAAAGAAAAACAAGACAGGTGATGGAGTGGGGGTAGGGGGTGTTCAATCCACATCACATCGAAGTATCTCATAGAGAACCTTTCCTCACCCGGCTGCAGACCAGACGCATCACGAAATTCGAATAAATTAGTCAGGAAAATTTGACAAGCAATGTACAGATGGTCTCAATTGAATATCTACAGTGAAATATGTTCCTGGGCACCGATGGATGCCTTTCAGCCACGCCAGCCCTGGATCTCATCCAAGGTGAGCACGTACTCGCTCTCGTAGATCTATCGACTGTTAGTTCTTGAATATATCGAACCATGGCCGCTTTTCTTACCGTCTTCAGATCCGCGACGCTGTTCCACTCGGCATTGTTGATGAAGGTATCACTCCAGACGCAGAAGTACAGCCAGTGGGCCTCGTACGCCTTGAGGAGGTCAGGGAAGGGAGCACTGCCAACCTCCGTCGCAGCGATGAGCTTCTTGTCGCCGCCGAGAGCGATGAGATCGTTGTATTGCGTGGTCATAGGCTGAGATGAAGGTGAGCAAGCTTGATACTAAATTTGACCGAAGGGGCACTTACTCCGTGGCCTTGGGCGTAGACATCAGCGCTGAGGATATCAACAGTCTCATCGCCGGGGTACCAAGCCTCCGCAACTGAGTTCCACACCCAGATAAGGTTGTTCAGCTCATGGTGATTCGTAAGACGGTCGTACAACAAAGCGTACAGCTTCTTGCACGCCTCGGGGCCCTTGGCACCCCACCAGAACCACGCACCCTCAGCCTCGTGCAGCGGGCGCCAGAGCACCGGCACGCCAGCATCCTGGAGCTTCTTCAGCTGCACGGCAATAGCGTCAATGTCGCGGATGATGAGGGTGTAGTTGGCGTTGGTGGTATCGGCGAGGGCAGTCTCGACGTTGAAGTCGGTGGCGCGCGTGTAGAAACCGCTCCACCACTTGTTCTCCTCGGTGTCGTACAGACCCGTGGGCGCGTTCCAGTGCCAGAGGACAGAGACGATGCCGCCGCGCTCGGCGTGGGTGATGGCTTCCTCCACGGCGGTTCCGACGGTGCCGCGCTCGACGCGGCTGGGTGAGTAATCCATCAGGTCGACGCTGACGAGGGCTGGGGTCTTGCCGATCTGCTCATTGACCCAGTTGGAGTAGGAGAGCTCTTGCTGGCCGGAGAGGATGTTCTTGCCGTAGATGGAGCGGAGGTACTTGTAGAGGGCGTTGGCGTCGGTGTTCGCCTTGGCGTTGACGAGGGCCTCGTTGATGTTGTGGGGTCCGCGGGCGGCGGAGGGCGTGAGGGTGATGGAATCGATGAGGTAGCTTCTGAGGTCAGTCATGGAGCTTCTCATATCGCGTCAGTGAACTTACTATCCCCAGTTCTTGACGATGTCAATGGTGTTGTTGCCCTGGTTCAGGAGGACCTGACCAGCAGAGACATTCGCCCAGGTCTCGCCAGCGGCGAGCAGAACTTCGCTTGCAGCACCGCCATTGAGGACAACGTTGGTGCGCTTCTCGCCGTAAATGCCGGCGTATCTGATGCTAAGATCGAAGAGCTTCTGGCCGTCACCGGTGCAGTCAACATTGATGGTGAGCTTGTCAGTGTCGTCTTCGAAACTGGTCACGTATCCGGTGCCTATGCAAGTCAAAGTCAGATTGATGTAGTCGCGAATGGGGCTTCCAATGCTTACCAGTGAAGCCAGCCTGGGCAGTGTCAACCGTCGTGCCGGAGAGGACGCCATCCTCAGCCTCGTAAACCTTGGCCCCGTCGGTGCCGATGCACGACTGCGAATACACGCCAGCAGCAAACGCGAGGACGGCACGGAGAGAAAGCGCCGTGGATCTCGCCATGGTTATCGCGGAAGATCAGCACGGGGGTGGAATAAAGAAACAAAAGCGAATGAAAAGATCGGATGCAACTCAAACCGTCTGGATCAGATCCAGACAAACGGGTGTGGCCGGTGGGATATATACCTTACTCCAACTGCCCGAGGCCATTTTAATTCAAACAGCCTGTCAGGCCCCCTCAATCTCGCCCATATGGCCAAGAGACGTAAGGGTAATCACAGGAGGGGAAGATCATTAAGATTCCAGGGGGCGACGGAGGTTATTTTTGCGTCTCCACATTCCACCCGCTTCCCCCATCGAACAGCGCCTGCCGGGATTTGGAGATTTCCTGCCGGGGCATGACGGAGGGGGCTTTGACTTTCGTGAACGTGAACGCGGAGCGAGAGGCTCCGTGTGCGGCAAAGGGGGCAGATGAGGGGACCGATTTAGAGAAGTTTCTTGGCTTCATACGGCGCATGACTGCACAATTGACAAACGTGTGTGACGCAAGCCCTCTGCGACGAAGATCTTGTGTCTTTTTGAGAGACTTGGCCATCATCCGAGGCCCTTCTTAAGCTTAAGAAGACCTGTTCAGTCGGCTTGCTCGTCCGAACTTGACTGAACCTTTTGCGATGGGTCCCTGTCGATCGCTCATCCGACTGGCCCGCCGCCGAGCCCGCGAGGGTTTGGAGACATGGTTTGGGCTTGCAACGCTGATCCACTTCGCATCAACTGGAGACACCACACGAAATTTTCGCATCGTGCGAGCGAAAATTGCGGGGCTACGGCTACATGGTGCCACTCCCGCTGCTCGAGGTCAGGCAATCCAGCAGATGCTCGCATCTGCCCGGCTAGCTCAATCGGTAGAGCGTGAGACTCTTAATCTCAAGGTTGTGGGTTCGACCCCCACGTCGGGCTCAATTCCCGTCAGCGATTGACCTTTCTTTTTGCTTTTTGTCGTATGGTTTGCTTTTAGGTTGTAACTTGCTGCTGCGCATCACGAGCAAACACACTCGAGTAAAGAATCAGCGCTGTTATCGCACTGACTGCTGGCTAGTATGGGATGCCTATGTCCGGTAAGCAGGACTCGTTAAGTAAGGTAGCTTCACGAAGACTAGACTACAACCCAACCTTGGCGGGCTGACCGACAGCGCTATTGCCGTAGCTCGGTGACCATCGCCCAGACAAATGCATAAATAGTCGTCACGATCATGTGCTTTCTTATTGATGCACCTTTGACGCGAAGAGTGGCTGAGCAGCATCGAGTCTGCCTTGCTCGGACTGGGTATGGCAGTCATCATGGAGAGCTTACATCCAAAGACGATCTAGTTCTTCGTCCTTATCTGCCTTCAGCAAGAGATCCTTGATCTAGAGACAAGGTTATATGTAAGGTGCTCACCACTCTGGGCTGAGTATGTCGAACTATACCGGGCTTGTGCCGCTGGCGTCTTACAGCATTTTGCACCAAGCCACCTGGTTGGCCTTCGGTGCTGTAGGATTGCGGCGGGTCTGACCAAGCATAACGTCCCGCGTTGCCTGTCTTGTTGATCATTCCAAATGGAGAACCATGAATGCAACCTTTTCATGGATTAATCATTCATTAATGAACAAGGCTTTTTCGACTTTGTAGCGAAAATGTAGAAGATGATCCTTACCAGGCACCCTTTTCCACAAAACGATACCGTCCTTCACGTCGAACCAAGCATATATAGTCATGTCTCGGCCCTCAGGTGGCAGGTGAAAGTGATGCTGTTACTCCGAAAGACATATGGACATGAAACTGAACATATTTGAACATTATCCCCGGGATAAAATCACCTATAACGGGGCCAGTACTTTTTCGACTACACGAAATCCGGCCCACCCGACCAATTCGCAAAACCAGTAGTCGCAACGGGGTCCAACCCAGCTAAGAAAGAACAGATAGCACAGGCTCTCTTGTTGAACATCAAAGTTCACCAGCCCGCTTCTCTCTGAAATGGCACCTTCACAACGATCTGATCACAGTACTGGGACGAATAAAAGCGTCTTCCGGCGTCCCACATGGGTTCATGCGACCGTCTTGATAGCCTCGTGGATTATCTTCGTGCTCGGGTGCTGTGTAATCTCACCAAAAGCAGGGTGGCCGTGGCATCTCGGCTTCGAGAAACAACTTATACTCGTCGGCTTACTTCTGGCTTTCATGAAAACGTTTCTGGACGAGATATCAAGCGCCACATTCTTGGCCTTGCTGGAACGTTACGGTCCTTCCCAGCCCAAGCATGACGCTGTTCTCAGCAAGAGTCTGTTCCGACCCAAGGAGAGCGGCTGGTTCTATATCCCCTTGGTGGTCCTGTGGGTCCTCCCTATTGGTCTCGGAGTTGCGTATAAAAGTGCTATCGGTGGCGAGGTCTCAAGAATTATTGACCCAAAGGCTATGGATCCGAGCATGGCTCTAGAGTCGGACAGGCTATATGGATTGTTCCCATTAGCGAACGAAAGCCTCACAACAAGCGCTAGTAACTCGCCGTATCTTTTGACAAACGCCACGTCCGACTTCTTTTCGACTTCAGCGGTTGACGACAATTTTTATCCATCAACTGCTTTCCCGAAGCCGTTCGGTCATAATGTCCTCCTTTTGGAAAACAATACAGCCGCTGCACTTGATCTTCCCAGGTACCCCTACATACGAGCAATGCAGAACAGAATTAAGGACGGCGAAGGTTTGATAATCAATGCCACCGTTCAAGCGTACATCACTCGGCTGAATACAACCGCTGGTACTCTTTTGGCGAACGACAGGTTTTGGAATGACACTATCGGCAAACAAGACAGAGGAATGACAGCGTACACACAGTTCGCCAACGCAACGGCTCTCGGCATGGTACCGTGGATCCCGAACGGCGACGGCACCACATCGTGCCTATTGGGCTTTTATTCCCCCACCCAAGTCCGTTGGTTCGATTACTACAACAACACAAACGACCCGAGAGAGCATGCAGAAATTCAAGCTTTCCGAAAGTCTGCCATGGCATTTACTACACATCGCACAAAATGCACAGCCTCATGGCGCGTTACCAGACAATCATTCCACCTTCAGCATGGGAACTGCTCAGCAGCTGCAGCGGACATGACGCCTCAGTCGCAGATTTTCTTTGACATTGTCCACTTTAGCCCTTTCACTCTTGACACCTTGCCTGTTATCGGACTCCTTCTCAAAGAATATCCCGAATGGGACATTCGCGCCGGGTCTCCCTGGAGAATGCCGTCCTTCGTTGTGGCGCTGGTCGGATCGTACTGGGCACGCGGAGTGTTCATGATCCAAAAGTTGGCACCAAGGTCGGAATACACGGACCTGATGCAGAGTTGGAAATACCACCCATCAGATGAGACCGCTGAGCTCTCGAGGAAGATTCTCCATCCTTACTGGTGGCTTTATCTTGTTCTTGGAATACTGCCATTTCTCACAACAGCTGCGTTCTTGGCCAACCAATTATATCTTTATCCCAGGTCTGTCGTCAGAGGCTCTGGGTTCCATATGCTTTTAGGTGACACTGGATCACAAGCCACGTCATTTGTAAATAGCAGTTCTCAGTAATTTATAGCACATGTTTGCATTCACGTTCAAGTGCGAATCTTCTCGGCAACAGCATTGTTGGATTAGCGATCCCAGTCAACCCTCGCGGTATCCACAACTTACCATCAGCGTCAGGTCTTCGCTGAAGGCACGAATAACCCCAACATAACCGGCGAGTGCATGCCACGAGGAAGCTTCCGTATGTTCTGTTTCCAAGCTCGTGTTATTCGGAAATCTCGATGGTAGCGTGTCGTCTACGGAGCCCTGTAATCTCCATAAATATGACCACATGATAGAAAAATGACTGTGAGGCCCGAAAGGGATGGCGAAGGGGTCAGAGGGGTTCATCCGCTACAAGCTGAAAAACTGAAATTCCTCAGACTCCATCTGCCTCGCTTCCAAGTGGTTTTCTACCAGTTTCTGTAGCTCCTGATGCCTCTTTCAAGTACTTCCAGACAATGAGTCAAGAAAAATGGTGCATAATAAACGACGAGAAGGATGCCAAAAGCTTTAAACACCCAGACAGGGGGAATAACATCATTGACGAATCTCCGCATGAGCAGAACGAAAGACTGTAACTCCGATTGGCTCCTCTCCGCTACATGTCGAGTAGTGCCGTCTGCTGATGGTTCGTCTGATGCCGACCTGGCGCGTTTGTCATCCATCAGCGGCTTTTTGTCTATGTCGTTCGTGTTAGTGATTTCCGATCTTAATGAAAAAGAAAACTGAAAAGATATAGTAATAACTAGGTTTCCCTCGGTATCTTACCAGACCGAAAGTACTTTCAATACCTAAAGTGAGAAGATTCGACTTTTCTAGAGTGCTGATAGGCGGCCCTAGAACGAGCTTTGACGGCAGCGGAGTCCAAAAACCATAAGCATTAGGGAAACAACCAGACACGTATATAATAACTGATATGCCAAGGTGCCAAGATGTGCCCAGGTTCGGTTCGGCATGAACATTGCCGGTAGCCGCGAGCAATACATTACGCCAACAGCTTGGTCGAGTGATGGTCAACCACCAGTCACCTATCTGATGGAATTGAAGTATCGAAGTTGCCATTTCGATTGGGAGTCTTGCTGGCCATTGACATGTTAGATGATCGCATACATGAGGCGCAACAAAGCAAAATACACGGCTGTCTTCTTGGTATTTGATATTACACTTCGATTCCCCATTCCATTACTGGCACCCTTGTTCATGACCCAGGCTTACGTCCTTAAACCTGAACTCGCCTCTTGATTTCAACATCGACCCTCGAATCAGGCATGACAAGCGTCTGCTTAACAATATTTGCAGGCCGTAAAGGACCGGTTCCAGTGCTCTTCAACTGCATGTCGTAACCCATCAGCAGTTCCACGAGGATACACTTGATCATGTACACAGCGAAGAACCGGCCAGGACAAGAATGTGGGCCATGGCCAAAGTTGAAAGCGTCTGGTCCTGTGGTGGCAGCTTGATGCTTCATCTCGCGACCAGGAATCTCGCGAAGGCGTGAGAATCGGAAACCATCAAATTCTGCTGGCGGCGCGTTCTTCGTCTCGCTGTTGTACGAGGGGCTAAATGTCTGGGTTGTTTCTGATTGGCTGTAATTATGTGAGTCATTGTCGTGAGCGGTATAGTTATTGGAGAAACTTACTAAACACCCCATAGTGGGAAGGCGACCGAGGTTCCGGCAGGAAGTTTCAGGCCGTTGGAGAAGGTATAATCTTTTCGAACTCTTCTCACGGAACCACCTAAAATGACATGAGTAAGTCACCAGCATTCAAATGGGCGCGTGGAGTTGTATGGTCTTACCAAAGTTCAGAGGACTTAACCGCTGACTCTCTTTGATGAAGCTGTCAAGCTTCTTAAGCTTGTTGAGAGATGTCTTCGATAGATAGTTCTTGCCGGTTTCACCTTGCTGGTACCCGTCCTCCGCTACAACTTGTTGGATTTCCTCTCGGAGAGGCTGAATGTATTCCGGATGGCCAAGAAGATCCATCACCGCCTATTTCAACGTCAGCAGTCAGAATACTGGGACTTTGTCGCAGTACTCACGAAAGTGGTCGTGCTTGATGTGGTGTGTATCGCCGCAAATGATAGAAGCATCTGATTATTGCCGACGGCCTCGGCAGTTCGCCTCTCTTGTGGCAGGTACTTCATCATCCATGAGATGAAGGCGCCCCGCGAACCAGGCTTCGCCTTCTCTTCTACGTTGAACTCATTCTGAACGAAATCTGATACTAGTGGCTTCATCCACTCTTGCGCCCTCTTCTGCTCTCTGAGCATGTGCTGGACTTCGGGCAAGAAGCCCAAGAAAAACGGTCGGATCAAGGGGTGCAGCCTCAACATGGCCACACGGGATTTCGCGACGTCGACAGTGAAGTTGATTGACGCTGCCAGCCATTCCTCGTCACGACTCAGAGGCAAGCCGACGAATACCCGGCCGCTCATGAGGCCTACCATGCGAAGAATCGTCTTGTGGAGGTTGAATGTCTGCCACTCGGTTGAAGGACCGATAAGCTGCTCCATCCCATGGCGTACCTCATCTTGAATTGGCTGCAAGACTCCATTCAAGTTCCTGGTAAGATCGACTCGCACTGCGCCAATGACGTCGGGGTTGTCAACTCCGATATGCGTGTATTTTCCAAGGAAGACATCGTACAGCTCGGCACCGAAGGAGAACTCGGATTCAGCAGCGTGAATGACTTCTTGGTAGAGAGTCATTGGAAGGATGACTCGCCTTTATGATCTCTGGTCAGCCAAACTTCTTACATGTCTCGGGTGTGTGAGCTTACGGCGGATCTGCCGGGACAATGAATGGAGTATCCGGGTACTAGGGACGAACGTTGATCAGCGTGTTGAAATTCGACTGGAAAGAGATGCGCCGAGCATTACCTTCTGGTGTCCTTCTAGAACTGCATATGCCATATTCTGATCACCTGGTGATCCCACAATTGGGAAGTTGAGTCTCGTGGTGAGTTTCTTCCATAGTCGATAGAGCCCCAACACGGCCGTCGCGAAAACGACGGGAGCCCAAAGTTGCCACAACATGTTGTCAGTGTTTTGATGAATCCACGTCCAAATTCTCGAAGCGTGAAAGGCGCAAGTAGACAAAAGACCATCCATGTTGAAGGATACCGTCGAATCGCTGCCTTTTAACAAACGTGTAGTGTCGACGCCTGTCCCCCTCACCGGTCGCTCGCGTTCCACCAGTTACACCAATATCCGCTAAAGATTTAAGCCTAGGTGTCTCTCGTAAGCTTGACGTGTTACGTCGCCGAGCGAAGGTGAAACTAGCCGCCCGCGACAAGGACAAGCATTCCAAAAGTCCGCCCGTTGCTCCTGTGGCTTGCGCCCAAAGTAGATTCGCGTCGCCTAAATTCTTACTACGCACGGCAGATCAAATAAGCGCTAGACCCTGATCATGGCGTGTTTATCAACCAAAGACCCGTTTCCTTGCAGTTCACTTTCGACCCTTAGACCCTTATGGCCGTTACGGACGCGGTTGCCTTCGGATCCGGCACAGGTCTTGGGGCGGTGCAGCTAGCTTTCCAGAGGATCCGGTCTTAACGGCCTGTCTTGCGCGTTCGCGCTCTTCTCGACGTCATCTGAAGTTTGATGACATCCATCGTTCGCTGAAGTGCCTCCCTCATCATGTTCCCACTAAGCGTTTTGGACATTGCCAAAAAGCTCCAAAATCCTTCAAGCGCCACAGCAGTGCCGCAGTGATGCAGGTGAGAATTCGCGTTCGCGGGGTATTCGATGGCGCCCCTCATTGGTGTGCTCCAACAGATTATGGTGGTCAGAAGCTTGCAAGGACGTTCGGGAGATTACATGCCCTGTAGTGTAATGTCACATCAATCGAGATCCAGCCATTCGTTTTATCGCATTCGCCGCCCGTTAACAAAGGCGAGTGCTCCAATACGCCAGCTTTACGCGCATTTCTCATAGCAGATTCGTAAAAAGCCTACCGTCACCAAAGAACTTCTAGATTGGCGCATCATCTGAACTAGCCTTCAATTTGGGAACCGGCATTGGCCCAACGACCAGCCAAACTCGTGGCTGCACCTAGGCCATGCGGGCGCGGAGTAGAATACCAGTCTCCGTCCATTCTCCTCTCCATCCCACCACGAGGTCCCCCGGACCATCCGTAGTTGAACTTTGAGATGGTCAAACTCCGTGCGCAAGTCAAAAGCATGACATGCTTTCCGTAAACAGCAAACAAATCGGAAGAGAGGGACCGGGGGTTGGCTTTTTCCATGTATCGAGAGGGGCGAAGGTTTACCGAGGCGATGGATCAACGTCGCACCAGATAAGACAATTGAGCAGAGACTGGGTTGTTCATATGTGTGTCCCGGGAAAGCAAGAACATGTTTATCGAGACATTGGATGATTTTTGCCGAGCCTCTGTGCGAGCAGTTAAAGTTGCCATTAAGGAAGTCATTCGCGACCGATGTCACACAATTGGCTGTTTTAATGACAACGAAGGAAATCCGAAAGCCCCGAGCACCGCGTCTGGCGAAAACTTGCTTGATTCGTTTAACGTAGTTCAAGGCCAAATGACCCATGTGCTGTAGAATCAAACTAGACACAAAGCAAAGGAGCAAAAGAATTCATGAACTCTAAGAGTGTCACAGATCTCATCTTCCTCCACGATTCTTAGGTGACACCTCAATGCACGAGAATTCTCACGTGCACTTGAGGCAATGCTTTTCGCAAGCAGATCGGCAGAAGTTCGCCAAATCTTCTGATCATCTGCATCAAACCTTCGGCTGGATAATTGTGAGATTCATTAATCTGACACCCGAAGCACCCCAGTCTCAATACCTCGCTTCCAGATTTGCTGACTGCCAACGTTGCACTAAACGTCAATCCAATCAAAAGTGGCAAGCACGCATATTGCCTATGAGGCCAGATTTGTATAAGCAAGCGGCTCGGCACGTGGCCCATATTTGGAGTTTCGGAGCGGAAGCCGAGTATTCCAATCGGGGTTCTTGGCCTTGCGCGGCAATTTGTGCTCTAGCGAACCAGATGCCGGACGCTAACACGGGACGGCAGCCGGAACCAGAAATCTGTTTATTGGGAGCAATATATCTCTCACAATTACCTTCTCCGGCTTACCCCAAGTTTGGCGCCATGGGTCTGGTGGGGCGGTGATCATGGCCTGAAGAGGCTTCTCGGACGGAGACGTCTCTTCAAGAGCCTCTTGGCTGCGCAAGACCGTTGCAATGTGATGAGGCGCCTTTGGTTCCGTTCCTGAGATGGTGATAGAGGCTCCGTGACTAGAAGGAAATGCCATCAATTGCGACTCGGCCATGGAGTCTTCAGGGTATAAGAACCACCTCAGTTGCGCTTCTTGATGGTCATGATTTTGTCTCTGTGATCAGCCTCTTAGCCCGGTGCTAGATAAAATTTCGCTCTTCGTTGAATTGTCTTTTGCCTCATTTGAAAATGCATTTCACTTCAATTCTCACTCTCCTTTCCGCTTTGGGCGCCGTCTCGGCATCCCCTCGCTGGGGTGTCAGGGGGCATCACTTCCGACGCCATGGCTCCATCACCAACGACACGACAAACCCCTTTGATGGCAAGAAGCTCTACGCCAACCCGGACTGGGCCGAGAAGCTCGAACAGACTCATGATGCTTTTGTAGCCAAGGGCGACAGCGAGAATGCCGGCAAGGTCCGTACAGTCCAGAACATCGGCACCTTTGTCTGGGTATCCAATACCGCCAGCCTGGTCAACATCGACACAGCCGTCGAAAGAGCTCGCGCCATTCAAAAGGAGACTGGAGAGGAGCAAATTGTCGGCCTGGTGTTGTACAATCTTCCTGATAGAGATTGCAGCGCTGGGGAGAGCGCTGGTGAGTTCAGCAGTGAGGAGAACGGATTGGAGCTGTACAAGGAGACGTACATCAAGCCATATGCCGAGAAGCTGGCTGCCGCGAGCGATTTGACATTTGCAGTCGTTCTCGAGCCTGATTCTCTGGCAAACTTGGTTACGAACCTGGCTGTTGAGTTCTGTGCCAAGGCTGCACCGGTGTACGAGGAGGGCATCGCCTACGCCATCTCCAGCTTGCAGTATGACAATGTCCACCTTTACATCGATGCTGCTCATGGAGGATGGCTTGGATGGGACGACAATCTCGCACCTTGTAAGTCACTGACCTTGATCTATACACCTTGGGTTTATTGCTAACAAGATCTCAAAGCGGCCAAGCTCTTTGCCAAGGTTGTTCACAAAGCCGGCAACAACACCAGAATCCGTGGCTTCTCGACTAACGTCTCCAACTACAACCCGTTCAACGCCAATCCGCGCGCCAACTACACCGAGTGGAGCAACTCATGGGATGAGAACCACTACGCTCTCTCCCTTGCCCCTCATCTTGAAGCCGAGGGTCTGCCGTCTCGCTTCATCATTGATCAGGGCCGTGTGTCCAACAGCAGAGAGGAATGGGGTGAGTGGTGCAATGTCAGCCCTGCCGGTTTTGGTATGCAGCCTGGTACCCCAGTCAACAACACCCATATCGACTCCATCGTCTGGGTCAAGCCCGGTGGTGAAAGTGATGGACGCTGCGGGCTTGAGGGCGCGCCGAGGGCTGGAGAGTGGTTTGACGAGTACGTTCAGATGCTCGTTGAGAACGCAGACCCTTCTATTGTTGCAAGCAAAATTTAGATGTTTGGGTGGCTCGGGAATAGTTCGCGGAGTGATGAACACCAGTTATAAAGGCCTAGAAGATGGGCGATTCTCTTCATGTCAATTTCTTTACAGACGTACATACACAATTTAGAGGCTTCGTTCCCTAGTTCTACGAGACCCTTTTCAGAGATTTCCCCCTGTAATTACCGATTCCCTATGCCCACACGACTACCACAGTCTCTTCCACCGGATCCTGACATCACGGTCGGGAGGCACAGCCGCATTCAGGAAGTACTTCTCATTATCCTTTGCGGGTCGGTCAGACTTCCTTCCATCCATGTAAGTCCATTCCAAGATTTCCATGTCGAACCGCGTAACTAGGGTCGCGACCGTGAGCAGAATCTCCTGCTTAGCAAAGTGACGTCCTGGACACATCGAGACCCCTCCACCTTCTCAAATTTCAGTACTATCCCGTATGTCTCAAGGGTAGGGCTTACATACCAAACGGAAAGAAGTCACTTGGCTTTCCTGCCATGACAAATATCTTCTCTGCCTTCACCTTGCCTATGGTTTCATCAACTTTCGGGACGTACCTGACGTGACGCTCGGCCCAGAACTCCGATGCAGGATGGCCATTTCTAGCCCACACATCGTCATCCTGGTGTCCGAGGTTCGTTGGTGCCTGGATTAGAGACCCTTTCTTCAAGCGGTAGCCGTCCAAGATTGTGTCTTCCATGATCTCGCGGGTGATTCCGATGGATACATGTAACCGCATGCACTCGATGTAGATTGATTGCAACAATGGCGACGAAACCAGCTTCTGGCTGTCAAATCCCCGCTTCCCGGTTTCGGGATCAATCAACAGCGCCTCAGAGGCCTCGACACGGACTGCGGCAAAGAGACTCGGATCTTTGAGAAGTTCCATGATGAACCACGTTGTTACGGGCACCGTGTTCGAATTGACCCTACGATGCATCAGTTCAAAAGTCATACAGCATATGCTAGAAGCAAACGTACGCAAAGATCGACATCGCAAGAAACCCTGCACGTGTTCGCATCGTCATGTTCTGGTCATAAGTCCACTTCTGAAGATCGCGCGAGTAGCCGCAGCCGAAAGTCGGTTCCCAGTACGTATCTGTGCCCAGTCCATTCCAATCAAACTTGTCAAACTCTTGATTCAGGAACTTCTCCGTCATCGCGAGGAGTTTGTCTCGCTCTCGAGTCGGCTTGGGATTGATCCATTGCGGGAGGCCGTTAAGCACCTGGTGGGAAACGCCGTCGAACTTCCAAAATTGGTCGATGAATCCCGGGTTGATCTTCAAGAGTTTAGTACCGGCGAGTGACTTGACCGCGCTTTCCGCCATGTCTTTTCTTAGGTACTCAAACACCCGAACTTTTGACCACTCTCCCAACGGCTGTTTCTCCAAAGCCTCGCCCAGGAAGTCGATATACTTGCTAGCTAGCTGTGACGTGTTATCAATGATGGAAAGGTTCTTGGTGGTAATTTGATGTAAAGTGTGCCAGTAGCGCTGGTCCTCGGGCACATTCTCAAATCCCGCCTCTGGAATCTTCAGTCGGCCCGTTTTGTCATTGGCAAACCTGGCGACGTCTTGTTCAGGTGACCCCTGGAGCTTTTTCAAGACCATAATTACAAATTTGTCAGAGCTCATGGCGGTCGACTTTCGGAACATTGCTTGGACTTGCTGGCCTCCCTTGATGAGATACACGCGTACCGGTCCAAGACGAAGTTTGACGATATTCTTGGATCTTAAAGCTTGGCTGCGTCTCGTTAGACATCTCCTCAATCGTGAATCGAGTGACGATATTACCTTGCGCGTTGCATAAACGCCCTGGAGTTCGTCATGTACTGGAATGTGTTGCTCACGAAGGGGATAGTCTCCGCCATCGACGGCGGGTCATCTTTGCTATCGGAACGTACAGTCAAGAAGATCAACGGTAGGAGAATGATCAAACCGGCGAGAAACAAGTGGTTCATCGCCAAATTTGGCAGGACTCCGGACGACATCGTGATCGGGCCCTACGTGGTTCTTTCTGATCAATTTGTCCATGATTCGTGCGGGGTCAACAGATTTACGGCCAAGTCTCAAATACGGATACGATAATTAGCGAAAGTCTGGGTTACACAGCGTATCACATGATGTGTAGACCGTGGTTAGCGAAAACCTAAGACCGTAGCTGTTGTTAATTTATTAGCCGCTACAAATCGTCGGGTAGCGGCAAAATAGACCAGCTTGCCAATGTGCCACCACACTCTCAGCAGTGAGGCGCAATCAGTGACGCTTTCGCCGGCTTAGCTGAAGATATCGCAAGCGTCCCTCCGCAAACAAATCCTTAAGATCCGATGCACAAAATTGTCAAAAATGTATCATTTCTCCCCGAGGTGGGCTCGAACCACCAACCTCCAGATGACCATCCTGGTTGTCGTGAACAACCCATTCCGATCGTAACAGTCTGACGCGCTAGCCAATTGTGCCATCGGGGATTAGGTAATGTGTTATCTGACGATGGAGACAACTGTCGGCTGCCATATGGACCCGATTGAATGGAGTGGAGCGAATCTGATGGGGCGTCTGTCACAAACGTCTACCAGTCTGTTGGGCGGTATAGAACACACGAGTCAACGAAGGCATAAAGGCGATGCGTCATATTCGAGGTAGTCTTGCGTTGTGGAAGCATCTGATTAGGTTCAGGCAGAAAGAATGTGCAAGTCATTTCATTGTAGTGTTAAGTCAGCTTTGGTTAGTTGACTGAATCATCATAGACGTCTGATCTCCCCGAATGCATGCTTCAGAGATAGCGCTACTCAAAGGCCTACCAAGTCTCAAAGAATTTGATAACAGACTGTGTTGGTTGATATTTGCATATACGGCCTAGGTTGGAAACCAGCGAATACTTCTACTCAAAGCGTGATGCAGCCAACACAGCGCAAGAGCCATTCGGCACGGCTGACGCTAATATTTGAATCACGATAGGAGAAAATTGGAGATGACAAGTCAAGATGCATGGACAAATAACATGCTGGGTTGAAGTTTAAACCTGGACATACCAGTCGGCGTCTACTAGTTCTCCATCACCTTGATCCTTCCCAGTACCAAAAAGCGTCATCCTTCATGGCGCCGGGTCGCATCCAATCAGGTTTGGTCGTGAATTATCTGCCGAGCAGTTCCGGCGCGAAAGCGCAGTCTGACTTGCATAAGCGTGTTTTTTGCTTGAATCATTGGACCAGTGAAAAGTCGGGCGGAACCCGTCCCACAATGAATCCTCCAAATTGCAAAACGTCTTCCAATGCGGATGTCTTCTTTCTGATGTTTGCATTGAGTCGCATCGCAAGTCTGGTTCGACGAAAGCAGTTCCGGCAGAGATCAATCGCGAGAAAAGCAATGTATCACTACGAGCCACTGCCATCGCCGCAGTTCATCCGGCTTGTGAACATCATCCGCGACGACTACAGCGAGCACGGGTTCTCTGTCCGTTTGACGACTCACTCCCTCCACGACCTGCCGCCATTCTGGGCGCTCTCTTACACATGGGGCTCTCCGGATTTTCAAAGCGACGATCCCCAGGATGCGAACGCGGAGGGAAAGCGTTTCAGCATCAAGTGCGATGGGGATGATATGGAAATCGGCGAAAGCCTCTACGACTTCCTGCGACACATGAACGAAGACATGTTCGCTGCATCAGATCCCTCCGGGCCCCAAAGGTATCCAAAGCCTTCCACAAACTCTCGGCGCTTGGTCTTCCCGGAGAGGCATTTCAACTTCTGGGTCGACGCCATTTGCATCGATCAGCAGAACGACGACGAGAGGTCGGATCAGGTGCAGCTTATGGGAAAGATCTATCAATCCGCAAGTCGCGTCGTTGCGTGGCTTGGAAACACGGAACCTAACGATAATGTCAACTGGGTCATCAACAGCTTTGCGCCAATGATGCTGCATGTGTCACGATCCTCGTCAAGACCTAAAGTCATCCAGCTCTGTCAGGATACTGGTCACGAGTTGAATCATCCCAAAGCGGATGAGCTGATAGGGGCAGGGGTGTGTGCGCGCTGGCGTCGTTCGTATTCGGACTTCTTTTCATTCTTTGTCAAGAAGAGATGGCTCACCAGGGGATGGGTTGTCCAAGAGGCGGCAATACCAGAGCCGCACACTGTGGTCTTGTTGTGCGGCAGGAGTCAGTTCTCGTGGACAACCATCAACAACTTTGCCTCGTTTATTCTCAATGTGGGCTGGGACGACACACTCGAGGCAAGCCTGAATGAATCTCTACCAGAATGGAAAGAGAGGAAAGGGACCATCGATCGTCTCTGGAACCCCGTTTCAACGTCCCTACCAGACTTCCAAGAAGAGACCATCAACGATAGTATGGTTGACTGGCAAAACAGGCGCTGGGGCGCGGTCACTGATGAGGAGGTACGGCATGCGGAGGTCTTGCACAATTTTCACCGATTACGATTCTATGAGTTTCAAAACCCCTTGGATCACATCTACGGCACCCTGGGCTTGATGCCCCTGATTCTTGGACCAAAGTACCCTCTAGGAGTGACCCCAAGTTACGATATTGCCGTGGAGCAAGCTTTCACCGACGTCGCGACGTGGCTGATCCCGCATCTGCCCAACTTGGATATTCTAGGTCTGGCAGGCCTTGCCTTAGGAAGAAGCGGTGCCTTGCCCTCATGGGTGCCCGACTTCTCTTTTCATGGCCCAGCGTGCCACACGTCCTTGCAGAGGGCGCGCCAAATAAGGATGAAGTACGCTCGCTGGTACGGACCGCTCGACGCCACACGCACGACGAGCCTATTCGAATCCCCGAAGCCATTTGCTCGTATCGAGGGATTCAGACTGAAACTCGAAGGCAGTCGCATCGATAAGATCAAGAAGATACACAGGCTACATCACGATGACCAGGGAGTCCTTTGGAACGTCTCCTGGATTTTGGACTTTTGCAATCGAAATGACGCCTACATCACTGGAAGTGGCTCACTAGCCGAGGCCGTTGTGCATACACTTAGCGCAGACATTAGGCCAAGAGTCATATTGAAAAAGGACTACAAGGAGCGAAGTGAGGATTGGGTTAGGGACTGCATAACATATAATTGGCTGCTGAGTCAAGATGGTAAGAAACCGGTTCTCCCCGGGGGGGTTAAGGATGGAAGGAGGAGGAGACCCTTCATGACCGTAGAAGACGCTCTCAAGAGAGGATCTCAGGATGGCTTTCGCTCAAGCCTGATTGACAATCACATTACCAAAGTCATTGATTTTGTCACTCCTGGACGGCAGGTCATAATGACTGAAGGAGGCTTCCTTGGACTCGGACCTGCCGAGGCGCAGATTGGCGATGAAATTTGGCTGATGCGAGGTGGGAGGATGCCGTTGATCTTGAGAGATTCATGTAGGACGGGTGTAGTTGGTAGGGAATACTTGTTGGCAGGGGAAGCATATATCCATGGGGTTATGCATGGAGAGATGATGAGCGACAAGCTAAGACAGAGTTTCCAAGAGGTTACTATTGTGTAGATTACGGTCCAAGAATCTGTAATTACCGGCGGGAGTGTCATTCTACATCCTGCCTCATCCCAAGTATATTCAAGAGCATTGTTGCTTGAAGTTGATTTTATCGAAGAGGCGGATATCACTCAAAGTAGTCCGCGTCTACATTTGGGCAAAACATGCAACCCACATTACCCAAAACAGGCGGCTTGAGGTCCGCCCCAGGCCATACGATAAACTGCTTCGGTGTCAAGCGGCGGTTCTTTTCGCAGAGAGACGTTCTGCCATAGAACAGGTCAGTCAAAAGTGCGATTGATGGCAAGCTTTGATTACTCACCGGTAAAACCAACACTCGGCACCTTGTCTCATCCGGATTGACTTAGTCTCCGTTTGCCACTCGGACGCCATAATGACGAACTCGTCTGGGGGATAGCAATGAGTGATGCATTTCCCTCTGTATTTGGGTTCTTTGCAGAATGAGACGTAATGGCATTTTCCTCCTTCGCGTTTCTCGATGGATTCGTTTCCTTGAAGCTTTCCAAGCGCCGTGTCCGTTTCGGTAAGCTGCCGGGAGTCGGACGAATAAACCGGGGCGAAGATAGTATAATCTCTCACGGGTTTGGCGTTGACCCCAAAGATGAGGGTGATTATCATCAAAAGTCGTATGAGCGTCGACATCATTGTCAGTGGCGCGCAATTGTCGTGACGCGAGAGGCATCACTTTCAGGGTCTGCGTAGGAAAATGCCCTCTGAGCGCGGGAGTCTTTATACTCCGTGACTACATGTGTCGAAACCAGTGATGCAAGGGCTTTAGCTGAGATCAAAGAATGAGGAATGTAATGTTCTACTGCATGCTGGCCGTTACTCAAACGGGACTTGACCAATGTTTCAATGAATCATCCTGTCAACTGGCAAGCCTTGTTTGTACTCAAACTCACACGGCTAGTCTCAGCAGAACGACTGACGCAGGCTTTGATAGTTTTTGGTATAGTTATTTGGACTAGATAGGCCGTACTCCTGCTGTTTGGGTCGAAGTCAAAAGGCATAGTCACGATTGAAATTGAGACGCGTAGTGAGGTCGGAGTCAGGAGTAACGTCATAAATGGACCAACGCTCCTTCAAGTAACAATTTTTCACTTGGTTGGAACCAAAACAAAGCAGTAGCTTTGGCTCATCTTGTACGTTTGCGGCACGGTATCTTAGGCACACAGTGTACCTATAGACATGACTGAGTTGCATCTGCTTGGCAGGAGTTGCAAGATGAAGAGCCACAGTTGAGAATAACACCGAAATGAGTTGGTTGGGCAAGTTGCAACAGCGAGCCTTGAATATCACTTTGGGGGCCAATTTTGCAGGTCGCAATAGAGATTGAGGCAGCCTACCCCAGGTTTTCAGCGGTTCAAGCCGAGAGTCGCTTCGAAGACGGGGCCACAAATGGAGCTGCCAATCTTTTGACATCGGCTTGGACTCGAACTGGCTGCAGTCTTGACTGGCTATCGGGGACCAAATGAATCAAGCTGACTGTCATTTGCATCAGTGGCAGTTGACTGTTGTTTTTGCCGCAAGTCAATCATCTAATCGACGGATCTCATCCCGTCGGCAAAATGTCACCTCTGCCAAGCCGGAGTCATGGCAAGTCATCAGCGCCGGGATGGAATGGGCCCCGCCGCACCCGCGACGATGTCCTGCGACGCGCCCACGAGACGATCAGGAGACGAAATGACACCAAATGCGCGTGGCGGGGTCTCGAATTCTCAATTGCTGGCTCGCGCGGCAAAAACACCAGCAAACGTCGATGAATTCACCCTCTTTGCGGCGACCTGCTCATCTCCAATTTCCCTCTCTGCGGGGACCTTTTGCCAATTGCCATTGTTTTCCGGCTCGTCGAGTAAGATGGCTGCAAATCCGTGCTTGTTTGTACGAACCTCGAAATGAGGCGCTCTGTCACGCTCAATGGGCGATGCCCCTTTTGTGCAAGTGTGCGGCGCGGCGGTAAGATGACAGCCATGGTTGGGCGTCCTTTACGAGGCGCCACGCCGCAACGCCGCGTGCAAAGGAACCGGAAGGACGCAGCGCCATGGCTCGATTGAGTCGATTCATTGAAAGAAGGATGGACAAGAATGGGCGAGGAGGATCGAGGAGGATGGCTTGAAAATTGGCTGAAGGCTGGAAGACCAGTCACCGCGCGTGGGAGCCCGAGTATCGGGAATCGCGCCCCTGCCGGACGCCCAATAGCCCGGCCGTACGCCTGTCTCAACGGTCCGGTTCGGGCAAACTCCCTTACATAGGGCCATTATGAAGTTTTGGAGGGGGGCACCAGTTCGTGGGCACAAAGGCACAGGACTCAGGGGCAGAGCCGAGAGAGGAATCGGCTCAGACTGTGCCGCATAGTGCTTAATTCTCTCGCTTAGATTGACGCTACGCCACGCGACCTTGCCAATCCAAGACATGCGATCCGTGTCATAATTGCTGTCTTGAGTCTTACGTCCGCTGTCGTTGAACCGCACATGGGCCCTTGAAGCCGTCCAACAGGATCGCTAAACGTGAAATACGAACTCCTCGCGCGATGCTTTTCTCTGGGCTCAACGGAGCCGAGAGAGTCGGCCCCCGGGCGAGAGACTCCACTACTCCTGCGGCCCAGCAACTTGGCTGCCTGTTGCCAATTTGGCAATTTCCCATGGTTTGAGCTCGACTCGAGGTGGACGCGCGAAAAAAGTGCACATAATGCTCGCGATGCCCCCCTAACTCAGACCTCGGTCTTTCAGGATCTTTTTCGTTCCCTCACCGATCCCAGTCACTCTTTTGTATCGTATTCCGGATCAGAAAACTCCACTGAAAACATGCGCTTCTCTGCTGCTCTCGCCCTCGCGGCCCCCTTGGCTGTCTCCGCCATCGAGTTCACCAGCCCGTCGCTCAACTCCACCGTCACCAAGGGCTCCAAGTACGAGCTGAGCTGGGACACCGTCGACACGGACCCTTCCGTCTTCAGCGTCTACCTCGTCAACTTCGTCAACTGGCCCCCTTCCTACACTCTGTTGGCCCAGAACATCGAGACCGCTGCCGGCGCCGCCTCCGTTGACGTTCCCTGCTCAGCCATCAACTCTGGTGGCTACCAGTTGTGAGAACTCCCATTTTCCTTCTGTCTCGAGGCGTCGTTTCGAGGGTTGCTTTTCTTCAGCCCAGCCCCTGAAAGGGCTGATCCCCCCCTCAGCCTGTTCTAAACAGGGGTACTCGACGAGTCAGGTGTCCGTCATCTTAAATGAAAAGCGGAGCACACCACCACGCCTTGACAAGGGCCTTGCCTTCACGGTTGGCTGTTCCGTCATTGGGCGGAGCACCAGAGAAAGAGAGACTGTTAGCTAACATCCTGTGCCTTCGCGAATCACAGCAACGCCATCAACGGCACCAACGTCTACGTGATCTACGCGCAGACGCCCAAGTTCTCCATCTCCGGCGACGACTGCACCGACCCCACCCCGATCGGGGCCGAGCCATCCACCTGCGCGCCGCCGGCCACCGTCACTGTCACGGTGAGCAAGACCCTCTCCAGATCCAACTCCACCGCGACGGCGACGGGCGGCATTTCGGCGGCTCAGCAGGTCACTCCGACGCCCGCCGTCGTCACCCAAGTGACCACTGTTTACCAAGGCGTTTGTCCTGACACCATTGGCTGGTCTGCAGGCTACAATCACCCCGTAACTCTGACGAAGCCCCCTCGCGCCCCCAACTCGCCCGAGCCCACCGGCTCCTTCGGCGGCGCCGACGACAACGTGAAGACTGTCTACAGGACCACTTACCTGCCCCTCGAGCTGGCCCCGACCGCCTGCGGCTGCTAAGCGCGCAATCACAGCTCAATTCACCGCGAACGAAAAGGTTCATCGGAATCTTGACAACGACGACGACTTCATCACGTAAACTGTGGCGAAACGAAGCGGAGGACCGGAGTGAAAGATTTGGGGGAAGAAGAAGACATGCTTATTTCTTATGTCGCGTCCTTTCTTTTAAAGGCGGAACACTTCTTGGACGGTGATGGTTTGGTGTAACTTTGAGCGGGAAGAGTTGAGAACGAAGCATGGTGCGTGGCGGGAGTGTGGCCGATCTTGAGATCACTTCAATACCCCCTGAAGCACTTCCTACAAACCTGGTGTCCCTCAATCTTTTGTGCGCGCGACTTGTATTCTTCATAATGTCTGACGGCCTCACGACGAAAGGAAAAGAGACGAAAGCACTTAGCCCTAATTGAATTCTGGAGGGGTAGTATTGTAACCCTGCCCTTCGCAACAACAACAAACATACCCATGGTCAATTGAACCTGTCTCGGAGAGTTGCACAAAACAACCGCCTACGGAATAAACACCAAGGCGACCCCCGGTAACCCAACAATAGCCCACGCTGCCGCAGCTCCGCGACGCCAAGCCGTGCCGAGATGGTGGAGGCGGTAGCAAGTCAACTCCAGACGAGCCACTTGCGGCGCCGTCCGATGTTGGCCCAAACCAATCCAAATTCATGCGCACCGGGCTATTTCGCCAGCGTTGTTTATCCCCCCTCGGCTCCGCTGACGTGTGTTTTGCAGCCAACCTCTGTCGTTCTTAAACAATGGAACTTTTAGCGTGACTCTGCCGATCCAACCTGCTGGGTTTGGGGCGGATGAAGGGACCTTTTCAGGGCACTAAGGGTAGAAAGACTGCAAAGTCTAGATCTCGCAGGGCCCGAGCCCCGGGGCCGTCCCTGTAGTAGGAGGCTTCATGCGGCTCGCGATCTCCAATGTCACGCTCTCCGGGCCGGATTCACGTCCACGTCAGCCAGGGTGGTTGAGGGAGGAGGCAGCCGCAGAACATGTTCTCGCTGTCTCTTCTGACGACATCTGATTCTATATGCCGTTCCCCGAGTAATATGTGGGACTAACACGCCGGTTCCCTCTTTTTTCCCCGGACTGTTCATCACTTCATCTCGTCTGTCGGGCCCGTCAACTTACCTCTTCTCGTCTCTCATTCTTTTATTGGCGGTACTGAAGCTCGAGGCTTCGTCGCTTGATTTTGCAATAAGTTTTTTTTATTTCATCTTTCCTTCAAATTCATCTTTGACGTTTCACTTCTTTGCTGCTGGGCGGCCCTTCTTGAACTTACACTCACTTCTGGGATCTCATTCGTCCCGGCAATAATGCGTTTCTCACCTCTTGTTGCTGTTGCCCTCTTGGCACTTGGCGAAGGGGGGCTTTGCGATGATCGCCAAGAAAGCCAGTTGAAGATGTTCGGTGTAAGTTACTGCCATACCATGTGTCCCTCAAACACACCACCAAGACATGATCATCGACTATGTCTATCCTGTCTGCTTGAACATCCAGCTAATATATTATCCTCCCAATAGGGTAGCGTTGCCGGCCGTGCAGCTGCTCTTGTAAGACCAAGCGTCGACAAGCCCTCAGTCACCAAGAGGCAAATCAGTTTCTCGGGCGGTGGCATCAACATCGGCGGAGCAGGAGGTCTTCAACTCGGCGGCGGTGGCAAGGGAAAGGGCAATGGCCAGGCTGGAGCGGCGGCCAACCAGACGGCCAACGGCGGCGGAAACGGCGGTCTTTCCGTCGGCGGGATCCAGCTCGGTGGCAAGAAGAATGCGGGAAGCACCGGAAACAGCGCTCTCGATGCGTTCCTGAACGCGGCCAATGGAAAGAAGAATGGCACCGCCAACGCCGGAGGTGCGGCCGGAGGTGCGGCTGGAGGAGCAGCCGGCGGCGAGGGAAAGGGCAAAGGAAAGGGCAAGGGAGAAGGTGGACCAGGTGCTAACCCAGGCGAAGCGGCAAAGGCTGAACAAGGCCTCGGTTCGAATCCTGGCGAGGCTGCTAAGCAACAGGAGGCTGCGAAGGAGGCACAGAGGAAGGGCAAGGGTAACGGCGCTGGGACTGGGGCCGCTCCGCCGGCTGGCGAGGGACAACCTCAGCCCGGACAGGCCGGTGAAGGACAAGCTCCACCCGCACAGGGAGGTGAGGCAGCGAAGCCTGCTGGCGAAGGTGGTCAGCCGAAGGCTGTTCAAGAGTCGGAGCAGTTTAAGGATAATGCCGGCATCACCGTTGGAGCTGACGGCCAGGTCCAAAATGGTAGGAATTCCTCTACTGTTCTCGTGTATCTTGCGACTAACATCATCAACTTAGTTGGCGGTAATCTTGGCATCACCAAAGGTAGCGATGGCAGTACCTCTGTTGGCGGAAAGTCTGGTAAGATCTACCCTCGCCGTCAACCTTGAGGAGCGCCGACTGATTGATCTTAGGTATCAACATCAGCCCTGGGGGTGCTCAACGACAAGGCAAGGGCAAGGGTAACGGACAGCAAGCTGCACCTGCCACGCCACCAGCTGAGAGACAGCCGGCTGCTCAGCCCGCCCCTGCCGAGCCCGCCGCCCAGCCAGCAGCTCCTGCCCCGGCCCCGGCACCGGAGGCGGCCCCACCTGCGGCTCCGGCTACTCCCCCGGCACCGGAGGCTTAAAACCCCTACACTCGTTTATGGGAGGCTTGTTAATGTAGGAATAATTCAACGAGTGCTCTCGATAGGTTCCAATCAAGTCAAAGACTTTGTTTTCTGTGCTTCGTGACGTCAACAGTTTGGACCATTGCTATCAACAACGCCGATCAAAATTGACTCACCCCGACCACTCCAACGACTTTCGGTCCTCGTTTGAGAATGCAGACTGCTAGGCTCGGTTACTTTGGTCTCTCTCCACCGCTTCATTTGATCGTACGAAGACGTTGTTGCCTCGCCATGTTCCATCTCGTCTCTGAATGAGACCCCAGGTGATCTTTGTGTCCGGAGATTCGCATCAAGTCGTGTCCAATCGAGACCGGTTTTATGTCTAAGGAAGTTTTGCCACGCGCTAATGGTTTTGTTTGGTCCCCATTGTCTACTATTCCGGAGACGGTATAGAACACTTCGCGAAAGGCCATATTCTGAAGCCATGAAGCAGACCACTTCCAAGTAGCATGTGATCAATGCGAAGTCCATGCTACCTCTTGCGAATTCAGATCATGTGGTCAGAACTCTTTGATCATAAAACCTCAAGCCTAATAACAAACTTAGGGTGTACAGCAGCATTCAGCAGGAACCGAGTTTGGTGATGTGCACGGCTGGAGATGCGCCTGAATGTTGAAGATGGAACGGCCGGCAGAGGAAAACCGGGAGGAACAGAATATCGTCAAGGCTCTTTCTGGAGCTTTACACGAGTTTAAACTCAACCCGTTTCGTCGCTGATCTCTTCGACGAAAGATGGTGAGAAGCTATGAAGCCTGCAGCCTCCAATCGCCTCCTCCTGTAACCCATCGACCGCGGCGTGCTGCTAGTACATAGACGAGCGCGGCCATAGCAAATCGATAGTCATCCCGATTGATCAATGGCTTTTTGAGCCAGCAAGAAAATGATCAAGACGGCACTTGGAGAAATTCTGGCGATTTGCGGTGGCGTCAAGTGGAAGGCGATGGGATAGCCTGGAGACGGACATATCAACTGTCTGTGGGAGTATGAATCTCGTATCCCTTAGCCTTAGAAGGCAAAAACATTGCTTGCGTTTGTTGCAATCCAAACCACAGGCCTTACAATGTCACTGGGTTTGGCGAGGATCGGACACACAGCTGTTTGTCCACGTCACCGTTTCACATACCTCGGGCTGTTCAGTCGGCCGTCCTCCAACAACCCTGAACTCTAGTTGAGCCAGTGTCTCAACCAGGTAACTTCGTCCGCCAATCATGTATCCAGTCTTCTTCTGTTGGGCATATCTAGCCTCTTTCTGTCCCCTGGCCTCCATTTCTTCATCAGATTCACGAGTGCGCACGTAGTCAACGGCCACTCCTCCGTCATCGGGTGTCTTCGATGCGTATTCATGTGTCGTTGGACATTGATGAGACCGGTCGGTGCGCATTTTGGTCGTAGTGATTCGTCGGATTTCGATCCTGAGGCTTTTCTCTCCGTTGTCCAACATTTCGACTCTCTGACCGCTCATTGCTGATCACCGCTGTGTCTCCCAACTCCCCATTCTCAACGCGTTGAGGCCTAGCCACGGGAGGTCCCGTTGGTAACTGCATATGCAAAAGCTCCATAGATAGTCTCTCGAAGAACGGTCAAATTCCGCTGGCGCAAGTCCGAACGCATAGCGCCGACAGAGATCGACGTTTCCGAAGAGTGTTCTTGGTCCCTGAATCCGAGGGCGTGGATGCCCGAGTTGCTAGAGCCTCGCGCTTGGCCAAATCGCGGATAGAGCGCCAACGGCCCCTGAGTGCTTGGTAAGAGGGCATCCGCACACATATGTAGGAGAACCAAGATGTCTCAACGGATGATACTGACTCCAGCCATGTCTCAAATACTTCCAAAAGGGAGCAAAAGCAGGATTCCGGCCCGCTTATCGAGCTAGGTGCGATTCAATAGATTTCCGAAAACTGCAAAACGCGCCTTCAACCATCGGAGAGCTGGGCACTGAAAAGTCGATGTCGACAAGGGGAATTACTCGTGAACAGCACCCTGATACCTAACGTGAAGCGCAAGAACCAAGTGAAGCCTGTGATGTGATCCTACAAGGACGAGGTGTTGTTGAGTCTCAGCCAATGAGAAGAGTTGCGGACCTGCGGAGTGGACCCCTCCGCAGTCCCACTGGTGGGTACAGCGTATCTGCCGGACCACGTCGTCACTCCATCGCATTCTCTTTCGGTGTGGTTCTCAGTTCTCGCTTTCCTATCTTGTCTCTTCTCTCTTGCAGCATCGAGTGACGACCGGCATGGTTTCACTTCCATGTCCGGTATCATCTCCATTGGCCCCAATTGCGATGGTATGGAGTCCTCCGCGTGTTACGGGTATGTCCATGGGCTTCCAGCATGTGCTGGTTCAGAGATTCTACACGTGAATATCTTGACTCGCGGAAGGCTTTTTGTTATGCGGTAATTACATGATTGCAACTCCAGGTTTTAAGGCAACGCGGAAGATCAATATCCAAACGAGATACACTCATCATCTCCAAACCGGACTAATGCACCGTTGCGATGTCATATATGAACTAGTATTATGAGCCAACAGCCTAGCTGGCGTGATCTTAAGTCACTCTGCCACGACGGTGACAGCAGACCCGTTGAGCTAACTTCCATGAGTATCCAATCATCTAATTTACATTACACAGTTTACATCGTGTTACAACGCGTTGGGGTATTCTTTTCCTCCGTGTCCTCTCCTGTCGTCTCATCCAGAAACTTGGAAGGTCGTCTTGACATGGATACCGTTGGGACTGACCTCGCGGTTGAGCTCCTCGTCCGAACGCTTCGCCGAGACAGCAACATCGTTCTGCGTCTTCATGATGCGCTCCTCGCTGTCGTTGTCAATTTCAGTCCACCCCAGACCCCGGCGGCCGTCTTTCGTAAGGCGGTCCAGGCGGTGGGTGCTCTCCTTCGCGCCAATCGTGACGATGTGGTTGGCGGACTCCTGGCCGCCCGTCTTTGAGCGGTTCTTGGAGGTGCGGGAACGCACCGCTGAGGCGTTTTTGGCGATCCAGGGACCCAAGACCGGGGCGTTGACAGCTAGGATGCCGACGAACTGCCAGGGTGGGAAAACGGGTTAGTTCGACGCGCATACAGAGTTTGCCGGGGTGCGGGAAAGGGGGGCTGGGGGAGATTGCGTGAGGTGCGTGGGCCACACTTACTGTTTCTCTGATTGACCAGATGGTGCCCAGGTTGATGGACTGTGCATCCTGCAGGCAAAGAATGCAGCGAAGCAGCGTGGCAATGATGATGAAGATACCCGTGCAGAGCCAGAGGGAGCAGATGATTTTGCTGGTCCGGTCAGTCAACTGGAATTGGTGAAGGCTTTTGCAGTGAAAGAAACCTACCGTGCCATTGGCATCTGAACAGACCACAATAGCGGTAGTGGAATGTACAAAATCATCATGTCCGTTCTAAAATGGACTGTCAGTTTCGGTCGGTCGTGAAACCACTTCTCTTGGTGGACCTACGTGACGTTCGTAATTGCAAGAGCAATGTAGTTGGGAATATTCAGTGCGCAGGCGTCTAGAACAAGAAACAAATCAGACATGTCAAACAGCGAGAAAGGGGTCAAAACGCACCACCTGGATAGGGATACACCTGCCAATTCGCATGGAACGGCTGGCATCTCGTCAAGATCACAATGATGGTGACGATGTAGAGAACAACGCAGGTGCAAGCGGTGATGTAAACCATTCTCTTTTGCGTCAAGTTTAGCCTGTATCAACCGTGTTAATTATGAACGCCACTGCCAAGTTGCAACCTCGAACGAGATCTTACGTGAGTCTGCGGTACAAGAAGAGCATGCATGCCTTCAAGCACCAGATGAGGGTAACGTATAGAATCCATCCTGCCAGCAGGCATTTGGAGCCAACGACTATTCTTTCGATTTGCTTGTCGGAGAGCGTCAAGGCGATCTCATCGGTCATTCCAGTGATGCTGCCGTATTGTCCTGGACAAAACGATTGTTAGAGTTCAGACTAGACATCAACTGTCAAGGGGAAGCGAGAGTCTCCTCACCGATCAACTCTAGCATCACCAGTTCTCCCTGAACCCAAAAGTCAGTTTCAACCTCTCTTCAAAGCCCGATGCGGCCAGGGACCCTCCGCATACCGTCCAGAAAAACACTGCAATCAGTGCAAAGTAGTCATCGCCCTCCCAATTGGTCCCGACAATAGTCGACCTGTAGACAATGCGAACGAGGAGCACGAGCAGGCCGATGGCATACTCGGTCCAAGCCTCGACCTGGAACGGTGTCGCCATGGTGGAATGGTGGTGGTGGGGTGAGGATAGGGTATGCAGTTGCGGTGGTTTCTCGTCCGCAAGTTTGCCCCCTCTTCGCTCTTATGTGGCCGGCCTCCCTTTTTCTTTCACTGCAAAGCTTGTCGGGGCCCAAGCATGAATTATACAAAATTCTCCTCAACCCCAAATCGAGTCACGGACCTGGCAGCCTTGTCCGCCCAGACTGCCGAAATCAGAAATGTTCTTCAACCAGGGGTGCAGATTGACTACGCGTGGTGCCATTTGACGCCTTGAGTTGCATTCCGACAACCCGCTTTGAAAGGGGGAGGCCAATGGCCATATGGTGCCTGAATCGCGAAGGAGCCATTCCGCGGTACTAGTGTCAGGTCTGCAATATAGATCAGCGAGTTTGTCCCAAACCCTGAGGCTGCAGAGACTGGGAAAGGCGTCCTGCTGCCCACTTGGGTGGTGGGGTTTTGTGTCTCTGGTGGAACATTAGTCGGCTGCGCACCGGTCCCCATCCCTGCGTGGTCCCTTTCCGGGTGCTGCCCAAGACATGACGCGCAGTCTGTGTGGTTTTATGCGTCTGTCATCTGGTGAGGGCTGAAGCATCTCCCAGTCTGTTGTTATGGCTTACCGGTGCGGAGCTGTCATCCCGCAAGCCACTTTTCTAGCCTACCGTCAGTGCCCGCGGAACCCAACTCCAGAGTCCGGTATGTCTTATCATCCACGCGTACGCTAAAGAATAGCGCCCAACGGCTTCTTGGAAAGCCGTTTGCTCGAGATAAGACACTCATTACGGTCACAAAAGGAGACGGAAACTAGCGGATGTTCCGAGTATTTCATCACAGGATTCAGCCACTGTTCGAGACTACTCCAAAGTAGGAAGTAAGGTCCCGATCCAACGGGCAAGGATATGTCCAACATTGGTAAGTCCCCTGCCCAAACGTGCGATGCTTGCCTCCATGTTTGTCGGTCCATGTTTGTCCATGGCCTTTGTCTAAGATCCCTGCAACTGCAGAGCTGCAGAGATGGCGGCACGCGCGTGGACTCTGCCATCCTGATCGACCGAGGAATATTGGCTAACTCTTGACGAGGGACCTGGTCTTGAGTTGTCGCCTTGGTCCTTGTACCTCCATGTAGCTTAAAAGCTTAGGCCCCCGAGCTCCTTTCTGACCCGGCAGGATTCATCATTCCCCGCCACCAATCCCATATCACGTATTACAAGATGCTCGTCTCCGCCATCGCAGAGCACCTCCAGTGCCCCCGAAAGATCCCCGCCAAGACACCTACGGACTGGCAGCCTCCCTTCCCAGCCTACAGCGCTGGCTTTCCCAAAGCCACAAAAGACCTCGTCTTTGCTGTCATCGGCGCCCAGTATGCTTCCGAAGACAAGGCAGATGGCGATGCGGTCGCACGTCTGACGCAGTTCACCACCTCCAAGGCCGTCGAGCCCGAGTCTCGCCCACAGTTCGCGGAGTGGGCTGCCGTGACCGATACCCACGGATACTACAACATTGCCCACCTGGCTTACTGGCCCAGCAAGGCGGCATACGAGAAGTGGTCTGTCGACTCCGGCTTCAAGACATGGTGGGACGAGCTTGATCCCCAAGCCGAACGCCACGGCTGGTTTCTCGAGATGTTCCTCCCCACGATGGACCGTTTCGAGACAGTCTTCTCCAACAACGAGATCCCCGAGGGAGCGGCACACATGAGAGAACGTGTGATCGGCCCTATCAAGGAGCACGTATACTGGGGCAGCATGCGCGACAGAATGGCAGCAGCTCAGAACGACGAGCTAATCGGCGAGAAGGTCGAGCGTGCCACGAACGGAACGACAAACGGCAACGGAGTCCCCAAGCCTCGAAGGGTTCAGGTTTCCGGCAAGAAGAACCTCGCCGTCATCCGATCTGGCCAGGATTGGTCTGGAACACTGCCCGAAGAGCGAGAACTGTACCTGTCAACGATGCACCCCGTACTCATCGAGGGCATGAACTTCCTTCGAGACCAAGGTGCTGAGGTTGGCTGCCACAGCTGCAGGTTCATGGACCTCGTCGACCCCGCGACGGGTAAGGCTGACAAGGACCGCACTTTCGGATTGGCCTTCTTCGACGACCTTGCATCCCTCGAGGGTTGGGCAAAGGAACACCCTACACATTTGAAGATCTTCGGAGGCTTCTTGCAATATGCCAAAAAGCTGGAGAACAACGTCTCGCTTCGTCTGTTCCACGAAGTATTGGTGTTGAAGCCAGAGCAGCAGCACTTCGAGTACGTCGGTTGCCACTCCGGTACTGGACTGCTTGCAATCGTATAATAGCCATTCAATACACAAAACTCTCACCGTCAAGCTTCACTGCCGTTTATTTCGTGAACGAAAGCTCAATCCACAGTAGATCGTGATCAGCAAAGACAGGGTCAGAGTGATTGGCCAGATCGCCATCGAGCTAGAAATCGGATCGCAAGGACAACCCCTGAAGGCATCAGAGACAACGCACGGGGAGTGACCCAAGCTCGGTCCGGTGACATGGGCCATGACTCAACCCAGCCCAAGTTATCTTGCGGGGCTTTTGACTCCGCAAAGTTGTGGGAAACTAGGGCCTCAAAGATACCAGCAGGGTTTCACAAGATACGAATATGCACATCATCCCAACCTGTCAGACAACACACATGAAGTCATCTTAGCAGTTGATTGAGACAGTGGCCTCCAATCCGAGATTTGCTGTTACTGTCAAAGTATCTTGGTCTAATGTGTTTGTGTAGCTGTTCTTCGATCGGATCGATGCTGATGCGCGACTAATCATGCTCGAGAACGTTTGGGTATTGAAGCCTTCGTGTGCGGAGTTGCTTGCCAACTGCGAAGTGTATTTGTTTCTTGCAAGCCATTATAGGTATAATGTATTGGTCTACCGCCATGCTAAAGACACTTTGTCAGTTAGCTCAACAAACAACTGACATATAACATTAGTCAAAACACCTGGAAGAACAACAGACTCGCCGGATGAACTTGGTATCGAAGCCTTGCAAAGATCGTGTTGACGATGGTCCAGAAATACTATACGATCAGTACTAAAGGACTAGTCAAAGTAGATAGATCGATACTGTAGATGAGGTCCTATGAAGGCTCCCAAATATGCCATCATCGTTTCGTCTCGTTGGAAAAGACATCCTCTGGAGCCAAGCACCTTCCTTAAAACGTCACCTGTTTGTTGACTGCATTTTCCCACATCCTCTGAGCTAGCCTCTCACCCGGGCCTTTCTCCGGCCATGCCACCAGCGCCAACACGTTTCTCGCGGCGTTCCATTCAGTAACCCCTGTCGCCCTACTCCATCGCCTCAGCCTTCTAGCCCACCATCCCGCTAGCATGGCATACAGCTCGTCATCATCGTCACACAGCGGGCTGCTGTCACGACGCGCTCTGGGGACAACGTCCTGGTGGTATGGCACGCTGCCCGGACCCCCAGGTTCCGGAGCCGGGAGGCCCGCCTTCTGAGCGCTCGCAATGGTGCAAGCGCCGACCACGCCTTTCCACAGCCACAGTGCCTGGCCAAGCCGAGCTCCTTCTGTAAGTCCGTCAAAGTTGACCCGTGACCCTGCCATGGCGGTTTCGGTTGCAGCGACGTCCTGCTGGATAGCGGGAATCATGTAGCATAAGGGACCGGCCCCAGTGCTGGGCCCGTACGTCCATGGTAGGCCGATGATGCAGTGTATGTAGGCACCTCCGGCAGCGACAGTACTACCCCAAGGGACTTTGGTGTGAAAGGGTGAGGGAGTTTGGGTAGTCCGTGTGTCCGTCTGGCTTTGAGGGGTAGGCACAACCGGAAAGGATTGCGAGGCATAGCAACCACCATGTGCGGTGGTTACCAAGCGAAGATAATCCAATAGATCACTTAGGTCAAAGTTTTCGCCGGATATATCATAGCTTGCCATGAGAAAATAAGTGACTAGCCACAGGGCTAGTCGGCCATCAGGCAATCTCTGTTCCGCCCCTATAGGACTCTTGGGCTGTTGTCGTCTAGTTACTTCTTGCGGAAAAGGAGGCTGAAGCAAATTCGAGGTCCCCGCAATCACGTCGCATGTGACAAGGGCCAGGTAGAGTTGAACAGTGTCATCTGTGGAAATATTCGCAATTACAGACGGCGAATCAGCCAGACTCAAATCGGTCAAGCTTTTCTGTTGGAGAGTTTGAAACCTGTCCTTGAGCATAGATAGACCAGTTAGGTGGGCTCGTGCTGCGTCGTAATCACCCATGCTCATCTGCATACCACCAAATGAGATTGAGTTGTCAGTGATATGTTACTGAAGGTCCTCAGAATACCTTGACCAGAGGACGAGCTTTGTAGCCTTACCTCTATGAGGGCGATTGTGCCCACAATGTTCAGGTAAGTCCTGAACTTGCTAGGGTCATTGTGGTCAGCCTCTGCAAGATACGAGTTGATGGAGCGAATCCAATTAATCTTGTGCATATAGTATGTCGAAGCAAATTCTCCGAGGTTACCGTTATTCCAGTAGTAATGGAGGCCGGCTAGTAACAAAATGCCATGGAAAGAATCTGGATTATTAGCCACTTTGCCGATACTGAATAAAAGTATTTGTTAGCCGAAAAGTCGAAGAAATCGAGGGAAAAGGAAGCATATAGCTTACGTCTTTTTGTGCTTAGGAACAGTGCCCTTTTTCGGGGAGTTGACGTCCAGGACTAAGCGGAAGGCGGATGTCAGACTTGATCAGACTTGCGAAGTATAGAGACCTAAGCAGCAGTACAGAAGGCAAGTAGACTCACAGTATCGGAACAGCTCATGGGACTTAGACGACATGTATAGCGGCATGCTATCAAATGGGTCCACGGTCCTGGGGTCTTTTGGAAGCTGCCAGACGGCATTCCGTCCACCCCTCCCCATAAAGTTGGGACGAGACCCGTTCAAAATGCTACCATCGCCGGTCTCGCTGATCCATCGCTCGAGAGGGGGGTATGCGCATGGAGTTCCAGTAACGAGACATTTTGTGCTGTCAGAAAGGTCAGAGAAGATTCGCTCGTTTTTGCTCGCTATGACAAAGATCCTCCACGTGGCTACCCTTGCAAGCGGCTTAAAGGCCTAGCAACACTGGGCAAGGTCATCCGATTCTCATGCATTCCGCGTGTATCTGATCTAAAGGGGCAAGGGTCGTAATAGCTGTCTTGGCAAGATCGTCTGATTCCCAGGTACGGCACGTCTACGCGGCCCAAATGGGTAAGATCATAGTAGCTACATGGATTCGGTATGGTAGAATGCGAGAAAGTCAGAGAAGTACCCATGAAACTTACCATGTCGGTCGCTTCTCATCGCATCGGACATGTCTCTTTTTGCAGGCACCGCACCCAGTCCGACTGCGTATGTGGTGCTGCCTTCGTCGTGGCGACGTCTTTGGCGCTTGCATACTGAGGTCGCATAAGCACGTCGCGTAATGCTTGCGACGAGCGTTTAGAAGAGTACACTAGTATCAACGTGCTTGTTTAGCACTCTGAGAACGTAAATGAAGTTGCGGAACGGGTTCAAAGCTGTCAGGTTCAGGGGTCAGTCAACCTCCCCGCTGTTCAACGCGTGACGATGCTTACCAATCCAAGTTTGAAGAGAGGAGTCTCGGCGCTGAAGTACCTACAAGACGTTCTCCCGAGTTTTTTGTGCTACCTCAGTGATTGATCACATGGTTATCCCACTTAACTCAAAGGAATATGACGGCCCAATGAGACATGTGGGATGTATTATCAATACTTGCATCCGTCCCACCATGCGCCATCAGCACTAAGCCCGAGAGAGCGTGTTTGACGCGGGTTGCATGATGCATTCTGTCCCAGAGCGGACTTAGTGGGTTTCTTTTTACCTATGAGGCCGCGATAGCCATTCAGTCATTTCTCCATGATACCTTGACGATAAGAATTGTATCGGTATTGAGAGAGGGCTTTCTGCAAGTGCTGTTGCCTGCTGTATTCTTCCTCTCGCGGAGCTTAGTAAACACCCAGGCTTACGACAATTACCTTGATGTGCATGAACAAGCTCGCTAACCATTTTCGGTATGCCGCGTTCTCCACGATACATTGCTCGGCGCAATTGCGCTTCTATAACCCCAGAAGAGGTTCATCTGCACGTCTCAAAATTGAGCTTGTTCAAAAACGGTTTGTTATACGCAGCATTTGCTACTTGGGAACTTTGGGCTCCGGCATTGAATCTTGGAATATGGTAACACAGTTGGATATTGCGACGAAATGTCTATAAAAGACGGGAGTGTTCCAGTCCGCAAGCTCTTATCACATCATACCCAGTATCTCGCTTGTGAGCCAAAGTATTTCCCGGTTCAAAACCCTATTGTCGTTCCAACCCATTTCTACAAGGTATCAAACTCAATAGATATCCGAAACACCTCTCAGGATGGCATTATTCGGCTTCGACACTACCGCGGAAGAAGTTGTCTCAACCTTCGCTTCCAATGTCAAGGGCCGCACCTTTCTCATCACGGGTGCTAGCGCCAACGGATTGGGTGCTTATATGGCCATTTCTCTTGCCAAAGCGTCGCCCACGGCAATTTTTCTTGCTGGTCGCTCCGAAGCCAAGGTGGCGCCTGTCATCAAGGAGATCGCCGCCACTGATCCGTCTATCCGTGCCACCTTCATTGCTGTGGAGCTCACCGACCAGAACAGCGTTCGAGCCGCAGCCGCCAATATCCTCGCAGACTCCAAGACCTCCAAGATTGACGTTTTGATCAACTGCGCCGGTATTATGTACGCCAAGGAGTTCACGACGGATGCCGAGGGGAACGAGTTGCAATTCAGTGCCAACCATATCGGACACTTTCTGCTCACGAACTTGCTGCTGCCCAAGATCCTTGCCGCTGGTGAGGGTGCCCGCATTATCAACGTCTCGAGCCACGGACATCAACTCTCCGACGTGTGGTGGAGCGACCCGACCTTCAACAAGGGTAAAGACTATCACGGATGGAGCGGCTACGGACAATCCAAGACCGCAAACATTTTGTTCAGTATCGAGTTGGCTCGCAGATTGAAAGGCCGCGGAGTTGTCTCGCTGTCTGGTGAGTGAAACCTACATAATACCAAGCTGCGAGAAAGCAAACACCGCCTAACATGAGACCAGTCCACCCCGGAAGCATCGGAGGCACTGGTCTCTTTAACCATGTTTCCATGACAGAGCTTGACAAGGGCGACGAGGTCTCTCGAAAGAACACCGGATTGCCTTTCGCGATTGACATGCCATTCAAGACCGCGACTCAAGGGTGCTCGTCTATATTGGCAGCCGCGCTGGATCCCGAGCTTGCGGCTCACAGCGGCTCATATATTCAGAACTGCCAGGTCGGAACGCCTCGTAAGTATGCACTTGATGGCGAGAATGCGAAGAAGCTGTGGGCCATGAGCGAGGATTTGGTAGAACAGATTTTTGACCTGTGATTGTTGAGGGGCGAGTCCAGGCGACAGAGGGCATAAGCCTAGTTTTCCTATGGAAATTATTATTCTTATGCTATTCTGGGCTAGGTAGCCACAGTTGCAGTGGAATGTTTCTTTTCGTCTCGAGTGTAGCGCAGAAGACCGAGTAATGAATGCATTGGCGTATTGCTCAGTTTGTGGGGTTGGGGGTTCGGGGTTTGTAACTCAACTTGAATTTTCCATTCCCAAACCTGATGCATACTCAATGCTCAAAAATCCAATGCTCAAAAGATCCAATCATTATGGACTGTCAAATGACTGGTGAATAAGATAAAACTTTGATGTAAACTTTTACACAACCCGGATGAATGCCCCACTCTTTGAAGGAACTCGCCCACAACCCGGAATAGCCTCAGACAACAACTCCTTATATCACGCCTGATGTGTGTGCAAGTGAGGAACTCTTCAAGATGAAAGAGACTAGGTAGTCAAGGTGTATTCAAAATGCCCTGTATCTCCTCTGATGTCTGAGAAAAAGAAGACTGATGACTGTATGGAAATGGGGCTGAGATTGTTCAGCTGGGTCCATCTGCCGCGATTGCATCCACCCAGCACCGCCAGGTCCACATCGTGAGCTCCATATTCCCAAAATTCCCTCAACTCGCCAAGTCAAATCAGACACAACGTCTCAACATCCCCGATGGCACAATTGGCTAGCGCGTCAGACTGTTAATCTGGAGGTTGGTGGTTCGAGCCCACCTCGGGGAGATTCAGTGGTTAAATCCCACTCTTGGGTTGATGATTTCTTTTGCTTTTTGGGCCCATTAACATCGGATGGAACATTTTGCAATTATGGCCCCTGTATCGAATGGCATTGACGGAATGTTCCGTGTCTCGAAACATGTCGCCGGTATGTGTAGACTATTAGCGGAGGTCTAGACCGACTCTGATGGGTGATGGCGCTCGCTAGTCCTCCGCGGTAATGATGGCGGGCCCGGACATGTTTTAGCCCCGCGATTCAATGAGCTTAAAGTTCAGCTCACAGTTAAACATCTAGTTAGTACCTCATTGGCTTTGAAATTTAATTGAGCTCGAGACTAGCTAAATGACCGATTAGAAAGTGACCGCCTAATGTTCCTATGGCTGCGCGCTACATTTCTTCTGTGCTTGATTACTCCCTGAAGACAATAGTAACGATATTGACAGCGACGACGACGGCGACGACTACGATGATGATAATAATGATAACAAAGACAACGGCGAAGATAAAAGAAGTGACGACGATGAGGGAAGTGAAGACGTCGACGACGATGGAAGCGAAGACGATGACGGTAGACTAGAACATAGCCACGGGAAAATAGGCAGCCTCCGAACAAGGTCTTACTGCCAAGAAAATAGTGCACCTAGCGTGTCGATAATACGGATGTGAGGTGAAAATAAGCTTATTGAATTAGCATCCGATTCGGAAAGGTTGCATTCCAAGCTGATGGTAATTCTTCGCTGCTGAGACTGCAACGTGGGGGCTGAGCATTGCAGAAATCCGAGGACCCTGGAACCCATTTCACAGTAAGCACATGGGGATTTATCTAGATAACTCGGGGACCAGCAATCATACATGTCTGGCGTTCTGTCCCTTCCCTCCGTTTCTGGTTTTCGATCGTCACGAAGTAGCTTGTACTCTGTTTCGGCGGTGCTCTGTCGCTCCTTGCCAGTCCTTCATTCTCTCCTTCCGTCACCATGTTTAGCTTATTCAAGACAGTCACGCTCGTGACTGCAGCCATTCTTTCTCTCGCTCCGGTCACTACGGCCTCAACCACTCGACGACAGACCCTGTCCACCAATCTCGACTGCACCAAGCCCGCGACTCACAAGTCGACCTACACCGGTGAGAAAGGCACCTTTGAAGTCCTCTGCGGATGGGATTACGGCGGCGGTGACTATAAGGGTATCAACGTGCCGACATTTGAGGCCTGCGTAAAGGCCTGCGATGCCGAAGAAGCCTGCATCGCCGTAGCCTACGTCTACGACCAGCAGAATTGCTACCTGAAAGACGTGCAGACGCCTGCCACGGCCCTTGCGTGGGTGAACTCTGCACGCAAGACATCCAAGGCTTTAGGGGTCACCTGCGCCGGTGGTGCCTCCAACGGTGCGACCTACGCTGGTGCCAACGGAAACTTCGAGATTGTGTGCGGCGTGGACTACGCCGGCGCCGACATCGCCGCTCTCCAGGTCGCCACTTTCGAAGACTGCATCAAGGCTTGCGACAATGATGCCCGATGCGTGGATGTTTCGTACAGCCATATTGGGAAAACGTGCTGGACCAAGGACCGACTCACCACACCCAACCCCGTGGAAGCCATTTGGACTGCGAAAAAGGCTGTCAAGGAGAAGCCGACGTCGCAGGTCACATGCGTAGGCAACGCTGCTGACGGCACCACGTACAAAGCGACCAAGAGCTCATTTCAGATCCTCTGCGGTGTGGATTACGGGGGCGGGGACATTGGAGCTGCTCAGTACGACACCTTTGAAGAGTGCATGAAGGCATGCGACGTCGACGACCGCTGTGTCGACGTTTCTTACGACCCCCAGGGCAGAAATTGTTGGACGAAGGATACACTTAACACCCTGAATCCCGTTGGCTGGGTTTGGACCGGCAAGAAAATCCAAGATACGACCACCAAACCAGCCGTTTCCAATGCCGTTTCCTGCTCAACGGCTGGGACTAACGGCAAGACCTTCAAGACGACAATCGGAAACGAGTACCAGATCATCTGTGGTCAGGACTACGCTGGGGGAGATCTCAAAGCTGTGGACGCGGCCACCTTCCAGGCTTGTATCGAAACATGCGACAGCACACCCGGCTGTATCGATGTCGCCTACGTGGGGCCAGCGTGCTACATGAAGGATAAGCTCAACACTCTTGTGCAGTCCGCTTGGGTCTCAACCGCCCTTCTCTTCAAGCGACCAAAGGCCCTTACGTGCCAAGCTGACGAATCTCACGACACCGTTTTTACGACCAAGGATGGCCGGCAGTATGACATCCAGTGCGGATACGACCACCCGGGTGGCGACATGAAGATGGTTTACGCGGACAGTTTTCAACTCTGTTTGGAAGCTTGCGATGCTAACGTTGGCTGCCTTGATGTCGCATACAGCGGGGTCGCATGCTACATGAAGGACACCCTCAATCCAAAACAAGCCGCTGGATGGGTGTCTAATGCTCGATACATCGGCATGGCTCCCGTTTCCTCAACATCGATGATCGCTTCCAGTACAACGGCCACTTCAACCTCGGGCACTGCAACAGTCACCCCCATGTCCCAGACTGCGTGTTCCTCTGGATCATCAGATTCATTCATACCCTCCAGAGACCCTGATATCGACCGTTACACTGCGGAGAGACTCACACCAGTCACCTCAGTCACTCTCAACTATGCTGAAAGCCCTGGCAACCGGGTGATGCAGGTCGAGCTGGTGATGAACTCTGCAACTCTCGTTCTCGAAAACTCAGCACGAATCGCCAGCGTCACTTGCAAGAACAGCACCACTGCACAGCCTTCAGAGATGACGTTGTTCTTCAGCAACGAGAACGACGCTTCAAGTGTTTACACCACTTTGACTCAGTCACCTGGTCTGCTTCTCATCACGAACACTGTAGGCTGCAACATCAATACAGCTCGTGGTTTCTGGCAGCTTGATTCAGCAGGCAACACGCCACCAACTTCGTCCTCGTTCACGATCTTTGTCAAAGAGCGAAGGATGATTGACGTGGCTAGCCAAATCACTCTGGTCTACGGCAAAGTTGACGACGCTGGCAAGCAAAGTTACACTTCAACTTCGAGCAATGCTGCTTCGGTACCTTCTGCGCCCATCGGATCCGGGTCCTTGTGCAGTGCATCTGCAACCCTGTCTTCAACTGCTTCATCTTCAGGGTCATCCATCTCAGCCAAGCCCAGCGCGACGGGCTACAGACCTCCGCCAGAGACTCTGGCAGACTTGACCCCCGCAGCACGGGAGCTGTATGACTTCTTTCTCGCCAACATTCAGGTTGAAAACGGAAACATCAAATACAACGTCCCTGCCCAAAAGGGGCAGGAAATTCCAGCAGCAGCGTACAACCCCGATGATCTTGTCGGGCAGCAAGCAGTCGAAGATGCCTTCAAGGAAGCTGGGCTTGACAAACCATCCGATCTCCTCTCTAAGGCGACTGATGGTCTGAAGAAGGTTGCCGCCAACGTCTGTCCGTCTGCTTCAGCCACTGTCAAAAGGACGCTTCTCGAGCCATTCATCCAGGCGCGTCGGGAGCGCCTATCCAAAGCTCGAGCCCGCCGTCTGGGAAACTTCATCAGCAAGCGCCTTGAGGCCCGGGAGACAGACGGCTGGGACATTGCCTGCGACGATACCGTCACAGAGCTTGTTGGCCATCTCCCCGGAGGTGGAGCACTGGAGCTGGTGTGTGCTGGCAAGTCCCTCTACGACAACCGCGACGCTATCAAGTGCCTCTTTGGCGGTTGTCAGACAGTTACATACATCACCACCAAGACTACCACGTATGATTTCAACTACTCTTGGACCATGAACTTTCCGACCATCTCCCAGGTTCTGAAGTATGGCCCCGGGAGCAAGGCGCTGTCCTGCGTCAACTGCGGGTTCTCTGTCACGAGCATATCGTTTACCGGGAAGATAATCGTGGTGGTGACCAATGGAAACCTCCAGATCAAGCAAGCAGACGTGACCCCAGGAATTGCAGGGACTGCGTACATGATTGCGAGGCTTCAGTCAGATGGCCCATGGCAGGGCACTTGGAATCACAACTACAACTCTCTGGATCTCGGTCCCATCCAGATGGATGGTGCCTTCAGGATCAACCCCACAGTTCTGTACGGCGTTGGAATTGACTTCTCCACGGACTCAAAAGTTGATGTCACCGGCGGAGCTCGCTTCTCCTGGAGCAATGCCGACGCTTCCATCAACATACTCCAGAGCAGGTTGACGAACCAGAGAAATTGGCAACCGTCCGTTGAGTTCACCTTTCCCTCCTTCAAGCAGGGCTCGGCAGTCAGTCTTAAACCGTACATGAGATGGATCGTCAAGATCAAAGTCGACATCTACGGCATGGTCCACATCAACCCCTTCATTACCTCACAGACCGTCGCCGGTATCGACTCTTCGTACTCCTTCACAGCAACAAGCAATTGCCCGGCTAACAACCTTTTGGTCAACAACTTCGTCTACAGTGCCAACACTATCGGGTTCGGCGATGGTAACTCTGCCGTGCTTTACAGCGGTCAGGCGGGCAGCGCTAAGCGGTGCCTACCGGTGCCAGGCATCACCCCCTCGCCGGAAGAAATAGCGTCGCTGAGGAACGTTGGCCAGAACTTCTGCACCAAGTACATCAACTACAGGCCTCCTTCAACTTGGACGTACGTCACCGAGACTTCGACCGTCCCGAGCACCACCACGACATTCGTGACCACGACTGTCACCACCACTTCGACCGTTTACTCAGCCGTCACGACAAGCTTTGATAGCTATTTGACGAGAACATTCTCCGCCCGGACAGTGACTGTCACGGCGAGCGACAAGACCGCCAGATTCGCATACCTAAACTTCAGGCGAGGGCTGGATGTGCACACTCCAACGCCCACTGCAGGCCCAAACAGGCGCGCTGTGGGTGGTGTTGTTGCTCAAGCTACGCCGACTATGGTCAAAGACTGGGACGCCACCAAAATCTCATTCGCCTGCAAGCAGATTGCCACAGGTACGGAAACCAACACCTACACAACCACCACAACGACGACATCGGGGGTCGTCACTGCCACCGGGACCATCACAAAGAATGCACAGGGTCCACTCCAGACGTATACTTACACCATCTCCTCTACACGCTTCATGGGAATTGCAACGGCTACAGTGGCAGGCACCGTCGCTACAGAAACCGTCTGCCCGCCCTCGCCTGTGAACACATGCTTCAAGATCAAGGTCCACGGTTGTCCCTGGGTAGAAGACAAATACATCCGCTACCATCAATACGGCTCTTTCCAGCCCGAGTCCTGGTATGGCACTGACTACGTCTTCTACCTCACCACCGAGGGTCATCTCATGGGATACATCCCCGGAGGCCCATCGCTGGTTCTCGGAACTTCGTACCCGTACGTCAGCGACAACTATTGGGGCGAGGTGTACATGAAACCCATGGACCAGTCTTTCAACGGCTACACTTTGGCCAAATGTGCCAAGGACTCTGACCCATGCTCCAAGGGGCTCACTTGCTCCATCATCGACGCGGGAGGCGTGGAAAGGTTTGGGATGTCGCTGCAGGTTCCCGACTTTCAGGCCAACTCATACTATAGGGACGATGGAAGAAGCAGCAACTCTTTCCGTCCTGCGTGGTATAAGCTGCCGGACACAAGTTGGTACAAGTGGCTTCCGTTCACGATGACTTATGAGGATGTGCCATGTCCTTGCTAAGTTCTGGTCAGATGGGATGTGAAAAGACTTTGGGTGCTGGCCTCTGATATTTCTTCAAAGTCATGTCGCGCATACTATTTATTGAACAATAACTTGTAACAACTAATTAGTAATTAAATCTTCAACCTCACAATGAGATGTTCGGTATACGAGTTCCGCCATCAGGTTCAAGTGAGTGGGTGCTCAGATGTCTTTTGTAGTCTTAACGGCTGGGCTATAGAGCTTTCTACGACATCTCATCGAGTGACTAAAGCGAAGCGTGGAACGAACATAGAGTTTATCAAGTCACCTCACGACTGCACCATTATTAGGTCATTTTATTAACACTTCTGCGACTCGGGCGGACAGTGAAAATGCCACAGTGGTAACAAATACGAAAAAGACGACAACGATGACGACGACAATAACACCAACTATACCAACGACAATAGTGGTCACATTAGGGAAAGTGATAGGTGTACTCGTCTTTGAACATAACAGTTAGTGGACCGCCCGGCTAATTGGAAGTGCTCGTTCGGACAGCAAAACTCTTCATGAAAACCATCTCTCGTATCCTGGAGGTTCCTATCCAAGCGAAGGATAGGCTAAGATAATCCCTTCTCTCGACTGGTGCAAATATTGTTTTTCCCTCCTTGCGAGGTAGCAGTGGTATCCCCAGAAGTAATAGATCTATCGTATGTTGTATCAAATATGTAAGCAAGTCTCGACGAACGAAGCTTTCCCAGAACCACGGCATCCATAACCAGTGTCTTCAATAAAGCCCCAGTCGTCTCCATTTACAGGCACTCTCGTTCACTAGCGCAAAGTGTAATTTTCATCGTGAGTTCTCTTTCGATCATTCACTGCCAATAAAGGTGACCCTTGATTTTATCTTGGCGTATGAGGTCCCTTGACTTCAAGACACCGACCCCATTTCAATATTTCCCCTAGCCCAAGTAACTTTCCGGCTCCCTCGTCCTCCCTCGGCTACCCACGGAGCTATGCCGGGTGGATTTTACTAAGGCGAGTCCCATCGTATCTGCGAACGCGTGGATCCTGCAGGAGCGTTTCTTGCTTGAATCCCTACAAGCGCGTGATGAACGTGTCACCTTTTCAGAGTACTGCAGCTCTTAGTAGTATGATTCATTTCATGTGTGAGGCAATCTTTCAACAAACTTCTCGCGAAGGATGAGACTTAGACTGAGACTGTTGTTGGTGGCCCTTCTTAGCCAGGCAGCCACATTAATCACGGAACGCCGAGCATATTGATGGATAAGTAGTAGGTCCTGTATTCGCGGATGCACAGGCTTGAGAGACCGTCTCAAACGCCCCGAGAGTCAGGGTGTGTTATGTGACTAGGGAGCGTAAGAAAAGCTTGTCAGTGACAAGCCATCAAAGTCTAGACCATTGAAAGCCGGTCAACGTTGAGTGAAGTGATGAGAGCGGTTCAGGGGCGAAGGCATCAAGACATCCTCGTGACAGCAAAGTGAGATGAGCTCTCATCGACCCCTTCGAAGCTTCATGGGCGAGAGTCATGATGTAACATTCGGAAACATACATGCCTCCCAAGCCTGTCGCTAACTTAGGCAAGCTCTTCATAGTCGGACCCGAAGTTCTCCCTTGACATCGTCCACGGGCCCATGGAAAAACCGCTCGTTTAGGCAAGGCATACGCGACGGCTCTTGACTACTCGATTGGGAACGAGAAAACTTCACCGGGACGGAGCTGCTTTCCGATGACACTCAAAGCGCCATGTCTCCGTGTTCGTTGGGACCAGTAACCTGCCTGCATGCAAGCCAACCCAGGAAATTGGGAACAAATCCATACCTGCACCAAGGATCCAGGGCTCGACGGTCTGGACAACTTCATGGGACGACACACGGCGGGCAGCAAGAAGCTTCCATGCCGTCGGCGGACGCCCGACTCCTCACCTGCAAGCTGTGACTCCCCATCGGCTGGGGCTCGCCACTATTTCTCCGCCGGACATGGTGATATTATTCGACGCCGCCCGATCGCCCCCTCTGGCGCCAACAACCTCATCCAGACCTCTGGACCAATATCCCAGGTTTCTGAAGGGCAAGTAACATCGGTACCATGGACGAACAAAACTCTATGAAGAGCCCATGGCTTGCGTTGTATCGACAGGGCTACAGCATCTGGCCCCCATGCTGTCACTTCTCACTCGTCGACGCAGCCCTGATGGGTCCTCCGCGCCCTCCCCTGCGCAGCTTGGGGGTCCTGGGAGGGGTGGTGGTCATCAAAAATCTTCAACACGGCACCCCCCGCTCGCTCGCCTACGACTCCACCGGAGGAAAGATTCCCAGAGATTTCCAGGCTCGAGGGGAGAATCTGGCCCCCTTCGCTTCGCGTCGCTTGCCTCAGGGGCCATCAGGCAGTCGAGGCGCGCGAGATGATGGCTCCTGCTTGACGATAGGGTAGATAGGGCGGCGGAGGGACTCCGACCGAGTGGAAATGTGAGCGGCTGCGTTGTGACTCTTTTGGAGACGGGAAACACGTTGAATGAACGGTGTGAACAGCAGTGCACTGCGTCCGTAACGAACTTGCATTGCGGCATCTTGGCTGGTGCCTCGTGTCGGCAGATGCGAGTCTCGGTGCGGCGTGATTTATGCAGTGCATCTGCAACACATGGGAAATGGCGAGGCACGCAAGAGTATGCGCGCATCGCTTGCATCCGCCACACCATTCGCTGGAAGATCCAGGCGATCGGTGCCGTTGAGAGGGGGGAAGATCCAGGGGCGGGCACCATCAGTTTCGTAACCAGAACGTCAGTGATCGGAGCATTTCCCATAGACGGGTTCGATCTGATGGTATGTTTGTCAAATGAAAACAGTCAGAACCTTGAACCAACGATGGGCGTGAAGCTCTACCGTAGCTCTGATGGAACGATCAATCGAGCCCAAGGGAAATAGGACCGACAAGTGCCGCCGCCGCCAACGTTACGTTCCATCCCGAGGCTTCGACCGGAAAAATTAGGTAGAAAAAAAGTTCTTACGACGACCGTTTTGCTGCTGCGCCGTACGCTATTGCGACCCAGGAACGGTTTCGGGCAGGATTTCCCTCGTTTACATGACACGGAAACCGGACGCCTTACCAGATTCATGGCGGCGATGCGAGAGGGAAATCACCGAAAAGAACCGGCGTGGGATGCAGCTAACGTAGGCTGGAAGGTGTGCTTCGCTGCGCCGTTGCGCTGCATCGGCCCATCGACAGGGGGTGTTTTCTTGGGATGGCAGACCGGTAGAGACAGAAAAGTCTGATTTGCGGCCGATGGGACTCTCTTCGGCGCATCTTTCCTCCCGCGATCGAATCGAGAGGAAGTTCTGGCATACTCACAGTGAATTCATGTTTGAGGGGGCCCGGATCAATCTCGGGTCCAGGAATCGAACAACAGGAAGCTTCAATGTCATCCAATATCTCGGGTTTAAGAGGCTGGAATATGCTCAGGCCCTCGAAACCCAGGTCTGGCGTGGCGTAAACTGGGCCAATGGGTTGGCCTCAGAGGGCAGAGCGGCCTGTGTGCCGGCAAGGCATCCCTTGTGAAGTTCAGGGACAGGAAAGGGCTGGTGGTCTGGTAACGAATGCGACCATCCTTGGGAAATGTCGTTGACTGGCTGCGCGGTTGGTGCGCTACAAAGAGTCGACGACGGTGGAGTTTTCTGTTCTGTTTTTTGCCTGGGTCACGGCATAGCGTTCCCGGAGAAGCATCCACTCGAGAAAATGCTTAGCCATGAATGGACTGGAGGGCAAGGCCGGCGAGCTTGTGTGGCTCTGGGGGAGGAGAAATGGCAACTTGCAAGGAGGAGAAACCACCACACCAACACGAAATCCGACCACTTTTTTCTCTTCTTCGCCCTGTGGACAGGGCTCCTCGGTGGGATTACTATGGTGTTATGGGTAAGTATTAGCCCAAGCCACGTATCGTGGGGACTGACGGTCCCACGGGAAGCTCTGGAATAACTGCTGAGTGGCCGGTCTTTCGCCTGCGATCGATGTACCGCCCCTGGTCTGCTTGAGCCACAGCTACCTGTACAAGGGCTAAAACTTTGGCCTGATACCGCAGTACGTACGGGCCCAGTTGCGAACTTTTGCTTTCGCTGTGCCTGCTACCTCCACCCCCTTTAGCCACTCCGAGATTAGCGGTCCTGGCTGGGCCAGCATCCCCTGGCCCGCTGTGCCAGACCGAAGGACGAAGGAGTGTGGTTTCGCAGCCATCTCTTCTGTCTGGACAACTCGATAATTTTTCAGGTGAGGCTTCTTTGGATGGACAGTCGATGTCCGAAGTCAATTGGTTGTCATTGACAGACGTCAAAGACGGATTGACAGATATCGATGCTGTCAGATCGTAGTGTGGTTGCGGCATCCCACCGCCGCGCTCTGTCATTTGCACAGACCTCGAAATACGACAGAGATCATTAGCCGACGAGACGCCCTCCGCTTCCCTCCCGCTCCCGCTCTGCCTTACCGGCGAAGTTACCACCTAGGGAGGTCGCTGAAGGAAATGGCGCCGGGAGGCTGCCGTAAGGGTCTCTGGGCCGCCAGCACCCGTCGACGGCGTCTCTTAGGTGGTGTGGACAGTGGCGCCGGGGAGGTGCTCCGCGATCCTCCCGTGCCAAGGGTCTCTCTCGCTAGGAGATCCTGGCCCTCAAAACCCCCTGACATCAGGCGACTCTGCGTCCTCGTCCACTTGGGGTCCAGGGCATGGGAAGTGGGATTAGAGTTTTCGGTTCAACATTAGCAGCGGGGTGGTTCGATAAGTCGAGAAACGGGGCCCTCTATGGATAGACAGAGTGAAATTGGACGTCCACAAGCATCGGAAGTGCCATCTCAAGCACCGGAAGTGCCTTCTGGGTGACTGAGTCCAACATAGCACAGCCAAGCCAAGCCAGCTGAGCGCCAATTGCTAATACACGCCACTGGTAACATACATTACAACAACTGCAGTTCAGCATTAACTTGTCATTGGTGCCGTTTCCCGCCATTGCGTTTCATTTGGCTGCTCA